CTAAACATGGCATCGGCATGGCAACAACTGCAGGTAATGCAACAGGACAATATAACCAGCTATGTTTATAAACTAAATAATGGTTGCTCCAGCAGAGAGCCCAGTCAGTCAGTTATGTTGTCAACAATGACATAATAACAATGCTTTGCATCGTGCCTAAGAACAACCCTTAGCCATGGTATATTGGCCATATATCACACCCCTCGGGCTTTGTTGCTTAAATATTACATAGCCGGTAAAGCCTATCTGGGTACAGAGTGGTTCTCAAACCACCAAAAGCTGCCATGAAATGATGATACTAATGTGGTTGTAGCAGTAGAAGATAGAAGGTAGTATAGCACTGAGTGAATGCTGACTGAGAATACAGAGGTAAAAGTGTAGAAATGGCCTGGGATGCAGAGGTGGAAACATTGCAGCTATCTAAGTCTTATCACCTGGTCATGGTGCAGGAGTACCTCTGGTCGCTGTGTGTTTGGGTTTGGTATACCCTACCTATACAGACACAACCCAGAGCTTAGTAACACAAGGCCCAAACAACTGCATCCTGCTTACATATGTACACGGCTTCCAATGCTGTGGAGGAAAGAATGGTTCAAAACTGGGCTGAGTAGATGTATTGTAGGCCTCTATTATTCCCTATAAATAAAATAATCCAATATACAAAACTGCTTTGTGCCTTTAACATTGTGGGTAATGGGCATATCGAGGCCACATTACTGCAGTGAATGCCCCGAACACAGAGAATCCACTAAATCAATCTAGGTCAATTTCATTGGAGAACCTAATAGACATTATTTGGTCTCATACATTTTTTTAGGTCAGTTCCATGGTTTTAGATGCAAAGGGAGAACAGACGTCAGAAGGCTGTTTTAAGGACCGCTGTTCTTTCAAACATTAGGTAAATTACAGTCACGTCCCAAATGGGACCCTATTACCTATGTAGTGCAATACTTTGTACAATACTATTCCCCACTATGTAGGGAATAGGATGCCATATGGGATGCAGCCTAAGAATGTCGTTGTGTGGCGGTGATGGACATGAAGAAAACAAGTTCACATCAGTTCTGACTGATCAAATTATCATTTGATCAAATTATGTGTAAGAATGACAATTGTATAAAGAAGACTCCAACTCATCATTGTAACTGCTCCAAGGCCGGTATTCAATCTGTGGAGCGCTGTTGACAATGCACCGTTTAAAGGCAATGTTCCCGCTTTCACAGATTAAAGATGCAGTCCGGGATCTTAAGGACAAAATATTAGTACCATAATGTACTAATTGGATTCATAACAGTAGTGAGATGCTGGAGGCCTACAGTACATCAGCATTTGTTATGATGCTGGAAATATACGGTAGCCTGGTCCCAGATCTGTTTGTGCTATCACGTCAACTCCTTGCCATGCCAAACATGACAAGGTGTGGCAAGGAGTGGCATGATGGGACAAACAGACTGGTGCCCAGGCTAAATATAACAGGACATCACCATGTATTATAATCATAGAATTACAATACAAGATGTTGGGCCTCCTGAGTGGCGCAGTGGTCTAAGGCACGGCATCGCAGTGTTGAGGCGTCACTACAGCCTGGGGTTCGATCCCAGACGAGAGAGTGAGAAAGAGAGAGTGAGAAAGAGAAAGAGAGAGAGAGAAATATATTATATTATAGAAAGAGAAAGAGAGAGAGAGAGAGGGAGGGTGTAAGAGACAGACAACAGAGGACACTAAAGATGTCTGTTACGCATTAGTACCCATATCAAGCTTAAGAACATAATACAACCCTAACCTAAACCAATCCGTCATACCCAGTTGGTGTTCCTGACCGTTACTAACAAAGTCAACGGATCGAACTCCTCATTCTGTCTCCTACTGCCTCTGACAGGGCTGTGGGAGAGGAACTCCTGACTGTCTCCTTCTGCCTCTGACAGGGCTGTGGGAGAGGAACTCCTGACTGTCTCCTACTGCCTCTGATAGGGCTGTGGGGGAGGAACTCCTGACTGTCTCCTACTGCCTCTGATAGGGCTGTGGGGGAGGAACTCCTGACTGTCTCCTACTGCCTCTGATAGGGCTGTGGGGGAGGAATTTATAAAGGAGGCAGTCGGAGAGATGGAGCATGTGCCACATCAACTTCCCTCTCTTGACTCTCAGCTTGTTTAAAGATGTGGCACATCGTCTTGACGCTGGGAAATGTTCACCAACTCAGGGTCTCCTCTGTCCTGTCCTCCTGACTGTCCTAAGTTTTTGAAGCTGTGCAGTGTGCAGAATCATGGCCCTGCAACTCGTTCCTCTGCGTAGTCTCACTGTCAATGTTACAAATGATAGTGAGGAGAACAAAACCTAATGTTGCCGTATGTTTACATGAGCTTGTAAAACAAAGTAGGCTATCAATTATGGTGGACCAAACTGTATACTGTAAGGATTGGTTGTACAGTGTTTAATCTTATATAAGTTGTTTCTATAGAAATGCTTCTCCAGTTTTATCTTGTGGGGACTTGCTGAGTTGCTCATAGATGTTCACTAAGATTGTGAAGACATCTACATGCTGATGGTATATGCTGTAAGGATGATAAAAACTGACAAATAATAATGAAGATTTTAGGACACACTGCACAGCCCATAAATGTCCCCAACTGAAAGCTCCAATATCAGGAAGTTCATTAGTCCTAACACAATTCCTTCTGTTGCTCAGTCCTCCTAACTAAACAAATGGAATGCAACTCAATCAGATTATTAATATTAATTTAATTAAAGTCAACTACCCCTCTTCAGTTCTCCTCTAATGTGATAAAGACAACTGTTCAGCAGGAAAGTGTGTTAAACTGTCAGACCCATGGTAAATGTAACACTATGTTCAGCCCCTGTCCTCCTGCACTGACAATAGTGTCTGTCTCTCTGTTTGCTTCAGGATGAACATCACCTGGCTGACATTGGAATTTACAATATTATTTACAATATTAAGTTCCCTCAGGAATGTTCTACAGTCCTGCCTTCTCCATTCTCTCTGTTCAGTCTTCCTAAGCCTATCCATAGGCTCTAACTAAGCCATCGCAATTCTCTTAGTTCTACTTTATTCAGATGGAGCCTAATGAAGTTATAATAATTAGTTATTGAAGTGTCTGGTGCAGCATAAGGTTGTTCACTAAGTCAGCTGTATCAACCTTCTATGACAAATACAATGCCACCTGTTACACCTCATGAGATATTTCAACCTCATCTTCTTATCTTCTAAATGTATTAGAAAAGGGTTGTTGTGTTTAATTTGCAGTGGTTTGGATATTCCCTGCAATGTTGCCATATGTAATGTTGTCTCTGGCTGGAACAACCTTTTACGTTTAATTATAAAATAAATTAAACCAATCAATTCACATGTACATACATCTCAAAGGATGATAGTGGATTGCGCTTCTGTTATCCTTGCATGTTTTTCTTCTGCGACCATACACACTCCTACTGAGTCACGAGATGCTCATGCAGTCTATCAACGCCTGTGGACTTGATTGCGTGTTTGCGAATGTTATGAGTGGATTTCTTACATAAAAAAAATAAAAAATAATCCAAGATCACACCTTCTACTGAATCAAATGGTTATGACTCCCGAGAATTCTCATGGAATTATGTTGGAAATTCTTGAATATTAAATGTTTTACAACCATCTCTGATCGCGACCAGAGAGGAAGACAGTATCAGTTTGCTCCAATTATAACGTTGTTGCTTTATGCTACTTACTCAGTATAGGCTACTTCTTTCAACTGGAATACCCAAAGGATCAAGGTGGAATAGTTTTTCTTCGTCCTATTTCTGTTCTGCAACCCACAAAAGACCTGCTGTAGTAGGCCTATGTGTGTCAAGTAATGGAACAGAGGTGTTACATTTTTTGACAATCAAATGACATAGTCAAAACGTTCAGGACTGAGAGGGTAAGTTTAGCTGTGTGTTTTTGCTTGCGTGTAAATGCGTTTGTATAGTATATTGATATTGATGGGATGATCTGCAAACAATCACATTGCACGTTTGAGGAAATTAATGGTTTCACCAAATTCAGTTATTACCAGCAATTGCTATCATATTAATTAGAAAATAAACAAATAAATAATTATATTATCCAGCAAATGTATATAATTGCTTTGCTGTTTTTGTTGATTTAGATTCCGCTGGATTTTTGCTTTACTGCCAAGAACGTTGGAATAAGTCAACCTGCCTTCCGGGCAATTAGTAAGATTTGGTATGTAAATCTGATCCACTCCATTCAGCATGACACATTACATTATGAATGGAATAGCAGTCGTACAATATCATACGAATTACAGGATGTATAGTATGTACAAAATTGGATGAATAAATGTATCATACTTGGAGGACATATAGTATTATACATCTTTCTCTGAAACCAGAATTACAGGGAGAATTGCATTGGTGGTTAGGAGAATAATGACACGGATAAGTTATGTAAAAGACATGGAGACATGTTGGTTGGGTGGGGTTGGGGGAATGGGATGGGAGGTTGGGTGTGGAGGCTCACTTATTTTTGTTTATTTTCCTTTACATACTAAATGTAATATTACTTTTTAACTCTTTAATATGATCATAATGATCAATACTTTGTATTTGTATTTATGTTTTTTTATTTATTTTTGACTGGCAGCCCACAATTAAATATGATATGAACTGAATATGCAATTCAAGTTATATGAGTGTGTATTTTGTACCCCCCCCCCCCCCCTCCCCAACGAAAAAAATGACAACATAAATAAAAGATTGGACACACAAAAAAACACATCATACTTATTGGAGGTGCAAAGATTTACGTAAAATACCAAACGTCTGTCCAGTGAGTCCAGTCTGCATTAAGTAGCTTTCCTACTAGTAACCAAGCCATTCACCCAACCATTACTGATCTGTGTCTCTGACTCTGTCCACTGCCTCCCCAAAATGTAGAGTAGGGATAATCAATGTTATCTAATCTAACCTGTCTAGGTGAGTGAGATTGCCTAGCAGTAGCAGCGATGTCTCAACTGTACTACCGGAGGACAGACAACTCCTCCTACAGGGACCGGATCCCTCTGAGGATTGTCAGGGCCGAGTCTGAACTGTCTGGCCTGGAGAGGAACTACCTGGGAGCAGTGGAGAAAGGAGACTATGCCTCAATCAAACAGGCTCTAGAGGTAGGGATGAAGGGAGGAGAGGAAAGGGGGCGGGAGGAAGGGAGGGGATGGAGGAGAAAGGAGACTATGCGTCTCAGTCAAACGGGCTCTGGAAGTAGGGAAGAAGGAAGGAGAGGGAGGGAGGGAGACAGAGGTGGAGAGAGGGAGGAAGGGAGGGGTCGAGAGAAGGGAGGGAGGAGAAAGCATACTATACCTCCGTCAAACAAGCTCTAGAGGTAGGGATGGAGGGAGGAGCGGGAAGGGAGATGGAGGAAGGAAGGGAGGGAGAAAGAGGGAGGGAGGTAGGGAGGGAGGGAGGGAGGGAGGGAGGGAGGGAGAAAAGGAGGGAGGGATAAATAAGTCTCAGTTCAAGTACAACATCAATAAACATGATACAATTTGCTGTCATGATACCATAAAACTAAGTAATCATCCGTTGTCATTCCCCCTCCCGCCTATAGGAGGCAGAGATCTACTTCAGGATCAACATTAACTGTATAGACCCGTTGGGCCGCACAGCTTTGCTGATAGCTATAGAGAATGAGAACCTGGAGATTATAGAGCTGCTGCTCACCTATAACGTGTACGTCGGTGACGCTCTGCTACACGCCATCCGTAAAGAGATGGTGGGGGCCGTGGAACTGCTGCTCAACCATAAGAAGCCCAGCAGGGAGAAACAGGTAGGACAGTTGCAGTGTGCTTCCCAAATGCCACCCTGTTCTTGAGTGTTGGCTATAGTCACTTGGTGGAGGGGTGACTAGCCTACATTCACCTGCATACAGCACAACACACTGTCCTTGTGTTATCACATACAATACCAATAGGCTACCTGCTTTACAATCAGATTGGTCTTGAGAAAGGCCTTAGACCAGACATGTTGACATAGAACAGTCTCTACTATATGCCCTCTTCTTGTTTTTCCTATGCATTACACTACCCCATGCCCTCCCAGGCACATACTCATTCCTATAAGGATTACTTCAACCCTATTTTATTTTTAAGGGGATAGATCAGCTATGAAATTAGCAGATATAAGTCTATCAAATAACATTACTTACTTAATTTCTAATCCCCCCCCCCCTTTTTATATATATAATGCCCCCACCACCCTCTCCCCTGGTTGGAGGACTTGGTGGAAAACATTACAATTCAACTCTTAACTTTCAACTGAGAGCTTCAAGGAGAACATGTACATGTGCAATTTAGAAATGTTTCTCCATGCTATAACACTACATTACTACACTACATTACATATTCTTCCTCCTCACATCTCTTGCTTCAGCACAGTGTCTCTCTCTTCCCTTTTCACTTATCTCTCTGTATGTGTTGGTCTACTCTAAGTAACTGCTTCTCTCAGAACTGCAACGATATACGCTACTATGGGCAATTTACACATTTTCCCTGTACACTTGCACTCTGGATATTTGAACCATAATTCTTACTTATATTCTCCACAGCATCTCTTCCCTCTCTGTGTTGATCTTGGTTGCATCCCAAAATGGCACCCTATTACATATTTAGTGCACACTACCCTATAGGCCCTTATCAAAATTAGTGCGCTATATAGGGAATAGGGTGCCATTGAGACTAAGCCATGAACAGGTGAACATAGGTATGATAAAACAGACAGGGACTCCCTGAGGTCTGAAAGAGCAAGCTTTACTCTGCTTGTTGCTTTATTTAAATCACAGCTGATCTACTAGACTAGATCCTCCTCACCACATCTCCTAGCCCTCCTGTGATTCCTCTATTTACAGTCTGTTTATTTATACACTCTCTTCGTGATATGTTAATCATCTGATTTACATTTCTGTTGATCACTATAGCAAACGAGTCAATATGCAGGTACTGTCTTTCATCTGTATAGGCTACTGTATTTTTCTGATTTGTGTATACAGTGATACATCTGTAGCCTATTGACGACATCTTATTATGTGAAACTGTGAAAAGGTTACATGATCTTACCGGTCCTAAAGGCAGGCAGGCAGTAGGCAAAGGATAAGGTGCAAAAGTCAATTTTTCAAAATAACGGTTGTGATGGTAGAATACATAAACATGTTGGGAAGTTAGGCAAATTACTTACAAAAACAAACAAACTAGGGGAAAAAATGTAGTTCCCGGGGCAGCAGGTAGCCTAGTAGTTAAGAGCCTTGGGTCAGTAACCAAAAGGTCACTGGTTCAAATCCCTGAGCCGACCAGGTGAAAAAACTGTTGATGTGCCCTTGAGCAAGGCGCTTAACCCCAATTGCTCCTGTAAATGTAAAAATGAAATCAAAAATGAAATCAAAATCATGCTGAACTCAATCCAAAATCTGGATTTGGCCTTAGGCTGTGGGTACTATGACAACAAAATGGGCCTACAGCCTACACACATATGGACACTCTCCTCATCAGAACGTACAGAACACTGACAAAGCCACCTGTGAGGGAGCTCAAGGTATTTCTACCTGGCTTTGCCAGTGTTCTGAAGGGGAGAGTAAACGTATGTGGGTGGGGAGTGAGGCGGTGCCAAGAAGTGGCGACATGCTCAAAGCATTAGAAATAAATGCACAAACTGAAGGAAAAGAACTACCCATGGATAATTGGGCACTTGGAAACAAGTATTTAGCAGCGGTGCACATGTTTAAAACAGTAACAATATTGGCATGTCATAATTAGGCCTAACACAAGGGTGTACAAGTGAGAGTGGGGCTGTGGCCATCACAGAAACGACCAGGCAAAACTCTTCCCAACAAATTATACAATATCTTGAATTATGATATTAGGCTATTTAAACTCAACCATTTATCTTGAAAAATATATATTTTAGTGTGACTATTACTCTAGTTTGCAGAGGGCCAAAAATAGAACATGAAATGTAACCGGAAGACATACACAGTCCTGAAATGCATACAACTTTATCAAAATACAGCGTGCATTATCAAGGTTACATATATGTTTTAGCTAGTTTTAAAACAAAGGACAGAAATAGAACAGAACAGAATGTCTGATACTGTCACGAACGTTGAGAGACGGGTCAGACCAAGGTGCAGCGTGGTATGCGAACATGTTTATTAAACTGAATATACACTGACAAAACAACAAAAGGCAAGGAAACGTGACGTCGGAAGGCTATACACAAACAAGATCCCACAACCCAGGCAGGAAAACTGGCTGCCTAAGTATGATCCCCAATCAGAGACAACGAGCGACAGTTGCCTCTGATTGGGAACCACACCCGGCCAACATAGAAATACAAAACCTAGACTTTCACACCCTGACCAAACTACCTAGATATTAAAAGTCTCTCCAGGTCAGGGCGTGACAGATACACACACACACACACACACACACACACACACACACACACACACACACACACACACACACACACACACACACACACACACACACACACATACACATACCTTTACAAAGAAAGTCTATGGGGGCTGAACACTTCTCAAACACATTTTCAAAGACGTCAAAGAAAACTCCCACAGCACCAGAGCTGCTCTGAAACTATTTGGATTCAAATATTTTCATATAACAACTGAGGCCCTTCTAACTAGATGGACAAGAAAGCATAGAGCCACCTATGCTGTTAGCTATTGAGACAATGTCTAGATACACCATACAGTATTCCATCTGAATTAGGATTATGTCCCTCCATCAGATGGAGAGAGGGAGAGAGAGAGGAGTGTAATAGAAGAGTGTATTTAAACCCTCTCATCTTTCTATCAGAGGAGACCGTGGCGTCTCTCTATCTCCACCTCTCTTTCTCCATCTCTTCTGAGGGAGATTAGAGATAGTGATAATAAGGTCAGACTCCATCTCAACAGCATGACCTTACTGGCATCGTTATGCAAACACATAATCTGAACCACACATTCATGCACGCACACACACCATCAGGAGCATCAGGAATCAATGACAAGAAGACCTGTGGTTTACGGGAACATCACTTAGATCTGAGTTGTGGTGATAAAGGGAACAGTAATGTAATCCTGTTAGCTAGTATTTCCTCATACAGTAAGTGAAGTGGTCACTCAAGTGCCTCTTTCCTTATTACCTCCTCCCAGAGGGAGACCAATCAGACTGTGCATGTGTCCCAAATGGCCCCCTATACCCTATATAGTGCACTACTATTGACCAGAGCCCTATGATGGTGCCATTTGGGACGTACCTTAAATGATTAGACCCTGTCAATCAATCAATCAAATGGATTTATAAAGCAGATGTTACAAAGTGCTTTTACAGAAACCCAGCCTAAAACCCCAAAGAGCAAGCAATGCAGATGTAGAAGCATGGTGGCTAGGAAATACTCCCTAGAAAGGCAGGAACCTAGGAAGAAACCTAGAGAGGAACCAGGCTCTGAGGGGTGGCCAGTTCTCTTCTGGCTGTGTCCGGTGGAGATTTAAAGAGTGCATGGTCATTAAGGCCAGATCATTCTTCAAGATGTTCAAACATTCATAGATGACCAGCAGGGACAAATAATAATCACAGTGGTTATAGAGGGTGCAACAGGTCAGCACCTCAGGAATCAATGTCAGTTTGCTTTTCATAGCCGAGCATTCAGAGGTCGAGACAGAAGGTGCGGTAGAGAGAGAGAGAGAAAAGAGAGGGAGAGGGAGAGAGAGGGTCGAAACAGCAGGTCAAAAGGTAGCACGTCCAGTCAACAGGTCAGGGTTTCATAGCCGCAGGCAGAACAGCAGAAACTGGATCAGGTCCTCCGGGTGGGGAGAGCAAGAGAGCGAGAGAGAGATGGGAGAATTAGAGGGAGCATACTTAAGATCACACCAGATAAGACAGGATAATTTCACCAGATAGAACAGGCTGACCCTAGCCCCCTGGCACATAGACTACTGCAGCATAGATACTGGAGACTGAGACAGGGGGGGTCGGGGGACACTTTGGCCGCGTCCGACGATACCCCGGGACAGGGCTAACCAGGCAGGACATAACCCCACCCTCTTCGCCAAAGCACAGCCCCCACATTACAAGAGGGATATCAACAGACCCCCAACTTATTACCCTGAGACAAGGTGGAGTATAGCCCACGAAGATCTCCCCCACTGCAAGAGCCCGAGGGGGCGCAAAACCGGACAAGAAGATCACGTCAGTGACTCAACCCACTCAAGTTGAGTATAGCGGTACTCAATGTGATCCCTCACGGACGGCATGGGAGAGCACTAGCAAGCCAGTGACTCATAGGGTCAGAGGCAGAGAATCCCAGTGGAGAGAGAGGAGCTGGCCAGGCAGAGACAGCAAGAGTGGTTCGTCACTCCAGTGCCTTGCCGTTCACGTTCACACCCCTTCCTCCAGGAGAAAGCCCTGCCTTCAGCTGTTTGCTTAGAAATTCTAGGAACAATAAGGAGGCCTGCGTCTTGTGACTGTAGTGTACACTACCGGTCAAAAGTTTTAGAACACCTACTCATTCAAGGGTTCTTCTTTATTTTTTTCAACAATTTTCTACATTGTAGAATAATAATGAAGACATCAAAACTATGAAATAACACATATGGAATCATGTGTTAAACAAATCAAAATATATTTTATATTTGAGATTCTTCAAAGTAGCCACCCTTTGCCTTGATGACAGCTTTGCACACTCAAATATAACATATATTTTGATTTGTTTAACACTTTTTTTGGTTACTACATGATTCCATATGTGTTATTTCATAGTTTTGATGTCTTCACTATTATTCTACAATGTAGAACATTTTAAAAATAAAGAAAAACCGTTGTATGAGTAGGTGTTCTAAAACTTTTGACCAGTAGTGTATGTGTAGGTATGTACGGCAGGACCAAATTGGAGCGATAGGTAGGAGCAAGTCCCTGTAATGCTTTGTAGGTTATCAGTAAAACCTTGAAATCAGCCCTAGCCTTAACAGGAAGCTAGAGGCTAGCACTGGAGTTATATGATCAAATGTTTTGGTTCTAGTCAAGATTCTAGCAGCTGTATTTAGCACTAGCTGAAGTTTATTTAGTGCTTTATCCGGGTATCTGGAGAGTAGAACATTGCAGTAGTCTAATCTTGAAGTGACAAAAGCATGGATTAGCTTTTCTGTATAATTTTTGGACAAAAGGTTTCAGATTTTTGCAATGATACGAAGATGAAAAAAAGCTGCTCTTGAAATATTTTTGATATGTTCGTCAAAAGAGAGATCAGGGTACAGAGTAACACCGAGATCCTTCATAGTTTTATTTGAGACAACTGTACAACCATCCAGAGTAATTGTCAGATCAAACAGCAGATCTCTTTGTTTCATGGGACCTATAACTAGCATCTCTGTTTTGTCCGAGTTTAAAAGTAAAAAATGTGCCGCCATCCACTTTCTTATGTCTGAAACAGTCTTCTAGGGTAGGCAATTTTGGGGCTTCACCATGTTTCATCGAAATGTACAGCTCTGTGTTGTCTGCATAGCAGTGAATGTTGATATTGTGTTTCTGAATGACATCACCAAGATGTAGCATATACAGTGAGGGAAAAACGTATTTGATCCCCTGCTGATTTTGTATGTTTGCCCACTGACAAAGAAATGATCAGTATAATTTTAATGGTAGGTTTATTTGAACAGTGAGGGACAGAATAACAACAAAAAAATCCAGAAAATGTCAAAAATGTTATAAATTGATTTGCATTTTAATGAGGGAAATAAGTATTTGACCCCTCTGCAAAACATGACTTAGTACTTGGTGGCAAAACCCTTGTTGGCAATCACAGAGGTCAGACGTTTCTTGTAGTTGGCCACCAGGTTTGCACACATCTCAGGAGGGATTTTATCCCACTCCTCTTTGCAGATCTTCTCCAAGTCATTAAGGTTTCGAGGCTGACGTTTGGCAACTTGAACCTTCAGCTCCCTCCACAGATTTTCTATGGGATTAAGGTCTGGAGACTGGCTAGGCCACTCCAGGACCTTAATATGCTCTTCTTGAGCCACTCCTTTGTTGCCTTGGCCGTGTGTTTTGGGTCATTGTCATGCTGGAATACCCATCCACGACCCATTTTCAATGCCCTGGCTGAGGGAAGGAGGTTCTCACCCAAGATTTGACGGTACATGGCCCCGTCCATCATCCCTTTGATGCGGTGAAGTTGTCCTGTCCCCTTAGCAGAAAAACACCCCCAAAGCATAATGTTTCCACCTCCATTTTTGACGGTGGGGATGGTGTTCTTGGGGTTATAGGCAGCATTCCTCCTCCTCCAAACACGGTGAGTTGAGTTGGTGCCAAAGAGCTCCATTTTGGTCTCATCTGACCACAACACTTTCAACCAGTTCTCCTCTGAATCATTCAGATGTTCATTGGGAAACTTCAGACGGGCCTGTATATGTGCTTTCTTGAGCAGGGGGACCTTGCGGGCGCTGCAGGATTTTAGTCCTTCACGGCGTAGTGTGTTACCAATTGTTTTCTTGGTGACTATGGTCCCAGCTGCCTTGAGATCATTGACAAGATCCTCCCGTGTAGTTCTGGGCTGATTCCTCACAGTTCTGATGATCATTGCAACTCCACGAGGTGAGATCTTGCATGGAGCCCCAGGCCGAGGGAGATTGACAGTTATTTTGTGTTTCTTCCATTTGTGAATAATCGCACCAACTGTTGTCACCTTCTTACCAAGCTGCTTGGCGATGGTCTTGTAGCCCATTCCAGCCTTGTGTAGCTCTACAATCTTGTCCCTGACGTCCTTGGAGAGCTCTTTGGTCTTGGCCATGGTGGAGAGTTTGGAATCTGATTGATTGATTGCTTCTGTGGACAGGTGTCTTTTATACAGGTAACAAACTGAGATTAGGAGCACTCCCTATAAGAGTATGCTCCTAATCTCAGCTCGTTACCTGTATAAAAGACACATGGGAGTCATATATTTCCCTCATTAAAATGCAAATCAATTTATAAAATTTTTGACATGTGTTTTTCTGGATTTTTTTGTTGTTATTCTGTCTCTCACTGTTTAAATTAACCTACCATTAAAATGATAGACTGATCATTTCTTTGTCAGTGGGCAAACGTACAAAATCAGCAGGGGATCAAATACTTTTTTCCCTCACTGTATATAGTGAAAACAATAGTGGTCCTAAAACAGATCCTTGCGCAGCTGGTCCTCTGTAATCAACACACACACCACAGCTTCTCCTCAAGTAAAACCTAATCCATGTTCCTCTATTGTATTGCTTCATAAAGGAAACATATGGTATTGATATTGATAATACTACAATGTTGTTATGAATTCAGTTTTGTCTAATTCAATTTTCCTTCTTCAATCGATATCTGGATTGATCTCTTCTCTCTTGCCCAACATCCTCCCTATCTGACTATAACCCTTATTTATCTCTGCCCCGCCCTCCCTCCAGGTTCCTCCCATCCTATTGGACAAGCAGTTCTCTAACTTCACTCCTGACATCACACCCATCATCCTGGCAGCTCACACCAACAACTATGAGATCATCAAACTGCTGGTGCAGAAGGGGGTGTCCGTGCCCCAGCCACATGAGGTGGGTCTGAATCAGGACATAAGCGACACTATGGTGTAGTACTATGGTAAATGATGAAGTACTACATGCTACAGTATGATATAGTATGTAATGGCCCCACGGGGGGCCAGTATGAAAAAAAGAAAAGAAAGAATGTATGCACTCACTAACTGTAAGTGGCTCTGGATAAGAGCGTCTGCTAAATGACGTAAATGTAAATGTAAAATGTAATGTAGTACAGTACAATAGTCACAGCAGGCTACACTACACTATACAGTATGATACAATAGTACAGTATGATAGTTACAATACTGCTCTCCCTCCACCTGTGTGTGTTCCAGGTGCGCTGTAACTGCATGGAGTGTGTGTCCAGCTCTGATGTGGATAGTCTGCGTCACTCCCGCTCTCGTCTCAACATCTACAAGGCCCTGGCCAGCCCATCACTCATAGCCCTCTCCAGTGAAGACCCTTTCCTCACAGCCTTCCAACTCTCCTGGGAACTACAGGAACTCAGCAAGGTGGGTTTTTTAACAGATATGTGCTAAGTTAAATTAATTTAATTTAATTGAGGTGGAGGATGAGTTTGAGTCAAAGAAGAGTGAGGAGTTGTCTCAGCAGTGTAAGTACTTTATAAGCAGTTTATGGACTATTAATTTATTTAATCCTCTTCATTTTTATGTGGAACATAAGGCTTCCACAGGAGAGTGCCACAGACGCCGATCTTCTGCATTTTAGGAGATGGACGGTGTTCCATGACAGTGTTTATTTGGGCTCGACATTTAACTAACAGTTTATTCCTGTTTCAGGTGGAGAAAGAGTTTATGTCGGAGTATATGGAGTTTTCCTAGCAGTATAATGGCTTTATAAATAGTTTTTAACTAGTTTATTGACTGTTAACTAACAGTTTCTGACTGTTTCAGGTGGAGAATGAGTTTAAGTCGGAGTATGAGGAGTTATCTCAACAGTGTAAACAGTTTGCCAAGGACCTGTTGGACCAAACCAGGAGCTCCAGAGAACTAGAGCTGATCCTGAACTACAGAGACGACATCAACCCTCTACTGGATGAGAACACCAACGACCTGGCCAGACTCAAACTGGCTATCAAATACAGACAGAAAGAGGTAAGATATAACCCATGTTTCCTCAGGAAGCTGTGTTTATTGTCATTTTACTACATGTTGAAGCTTGGCCAGGTGGCTCTCCCTCCCAATGTCTTTAGTACAGCTGAGGGTTTTACATGTTGTATATCATTGGATAAAGCATGAAGCTAACGTCTGCTGTTATCTCTAAGATAGGATTGAGAAGTAGTAGATGGCCGGATTTGAGTGGAGACTTCCTATGGGAGTTGTAATTATGTGGTAATCACCAGGCTGCGTCTGAAAATGGCATCCTTCCTTAGTGAAACAACACATTACTAGAGCTATGTCTCAGTCTGCTGTCCAGTCCCTTGATGTAAACGTAATGAAGCATAATGATACAGCAATAATGATGCTACTAATAGGATAATGCTCTGACTGAATGTTTGCTTGGAATACTAACTCACAATACATCTAAATTACACAGAAAGCAGCATGTTGCACAGGAAAACAACAACCTTGGCCACGTCCCATATGGCACCCTATTCCCTATTTAAAAGTAGTGCACTAAATAGGGAATAGTGTGTGGGATTCAGGCCTTTTATGGTCTTCTCATGGCTTGTATGTCATCAGTAGTTTGTGGGAATATTGTCTCATGTTAAGTGTATAGCACTGTAATGTGAATTTTTGGTTTATGGTTGGTTGCTGCTACAGTTACTGTAGATGAGCAGGTACAGTACAGTTATGAAATGGAAGTTGTGAAATGTTGCCCCCTCCTGAGTAGAAGGGGACACTGCATCTGTACTCACGTAGAGAGTGAAGAGGACTGAGAACTGCAGAAAAAACACAAATTCCTTTCTTAATACTTTTAACCCTTTCCATGAGACGGACATTACACAACATGCTATATCTCTTTAGGGTTAGGGATAGAACAGAGATAAGAGAGAGACATTTATAAAGAACTCCATGTTCCTGTTTGAAAGAGTGCCTGTCTGTCAAATCTGTTCCTCATGAAACATTGTTATGTTTTTGTCTCTGTGAGATTTGATAGAACCATCTGCTGAACATCTGCGCTGCTCTGTGTGATGGTGAGGTTCATCTCAGTCTAACAGAATTACGAAACAATTACAACCAAATGGATCCCCATCACTTAGAGCAGGGCATTGTGGGGGATGAGGTCATCAGTGAGGTCATCAATCAGAGAGCGACTGAGACAGAGAGTGTTTTAGATAGTACCTGAGACGGCCAGAGTGATCCTTATCAAATCTTGTAAGTAGAGGCAGATCTGAGAGAAATACCCTTTTCATTCTTTTCCTGGAACTGTGCTGACAAGGACAATATGAAGAGAAAGCATCCTACACAGCGCAATACAGTGTGTGAAGAGGATATTAGAGAGGAACAGACATGCCAGGGAGGGACACTTGGGACCAGGCCAGGGACAGCTGGTAACACTCATCAGAATGATCAGGCACATTAAGGTCATTAACAGCTTGAGGTGCTGCTGCACTAAACCAGAATTAACAGTAATTGGCTGCGTCCCAAATGGCACATAGGATGTCATTTGGGATGCACACATAATGTAATCTGGGAACTCAATTGACCTCCTCCATTAGCTGAGTGTGTTTACTGCTGTGCCCAACTGTCCAACTGTCAGTATGCGGTATGCTGTACCCAACTGCCCAGGCTTGCTTAATATGTGCCTGTTTTCGTGTCAGTTGTTTGTCAATGTGGAGTGGAAAGCAAGTGAGAAAGAATAGTAAACATTGTGACGTTGCATTAGACACACAGGTCTCCAATAAGAACTAATCAATAATGTATCATAAAGGCTGACTCACTCTCTCGCTCTATCCCTTCATGCCTCCCTCCTTCCCTCCTTCCCTCCGTCCCCCTTAATCCCCCATCAATCCCTCTCTCCCTACTCTTTCCCCTCTCCCTTCTCCTTCTCTCTTCCCCTCTCCCTCCCTTCCCTTTCTCCTCCCCCTCTCTCTACTTTCCAACCCTCCCCTACTCCCTCTCCCCTCCTCCCTTCCTCAATCTCCCTCCTCCAGTTTGTAGCCCAGCCCAACTGTCAGCAGCTGCTTGCGTCTCGTTGGTACGATGAGTTCCCTGGGTGGAGGCGTCGTCACTGTGCAGGGAAGTTCCTAACCTGTATCTTCATCGGCCTCCTCTTCCCCCTCTTCTCCCTCTGCTACCTGATCTCTCCTAAAAGCCGCTATGGATACTTCATCAGGCAAGTAGCCTAGAGGTTAGAGAGGGAGGTCAGCAACTGGAGGGTTGCCAGTTTGAATCCCTGGTCTGATGGGAAAAAGCTGAAGTTGAATTTATGTTAGACCTAATGGACAATAAAGGAATCTTCTTCTTCATCATTAGGAAGCCCTTCATCAAGTTTATCTGCCACACAACGTCGTATCTCACCTTCCTGTTCCTGCTGCTGCTGGCCTCCCAGCACATCGTCTCTACAGACCCCAATAGACAGGGGCCGACTCCTACTGTGGTGGAATGGATGATACTGCCCTGGGTACTGGGTAAGAGTGTGTGTGTGTGTTTGTTTTACGTGCGCAGAGTTGCACAACATGGTTGATCAAGAAAGGAAAGACTTGTCTTTCAGCCAAATACGTAATCTACCTTTTACAGCTGGTTTTCATGCATTGAACGCACACTGCATTGTAAGACAATCCAGCCCATGTGTGTCCTATGTAACTCCCATGATGGTGTTCTGTTAATCTGTTCAGTACAACCACATGGCAGGATACATGGGCATGCTACCTGTTTACCTTTTCATACCTGTCTACCTGTCCTGCATCACCGCTTGATATGGCAAATGCACCACCCTCGATCGCAAAGCGATACAGAGGGTAGTGTGGACAGCCCAGTACATCACTGGGGCCGAGCTCCCTGCCATCCAGGACCTCTATATCAAGGGGTGTCAGAGGAAGGCCCGAATAATTGCCAAAGACTGCAGCCACCCAAGCATTGTTCACTCTGCTACCGTCTGGCAAACGGTACCAGAGCATCGGCTCTCGGACCAACAGGCTCAGAGACAGCTTCTACCCCAAGCCATAAGACTGCTAATTAGTTAATTAACGGTTACCCGGACTATATACAGTACGCTGACCCTATCCTGCACTGACTCTATGCACACTCACACACAAACTACTATGACACACAACATCCACACACATTCACTACATACGCACCGACAACACAAACACACATACAGATGTGGGATCTTAATTTGAGCCAGTTTGCTACAGCAGGAAAAAATCCTGCAGCACCAGGAAATGTGAATAATTATGTGAATTATAATAAAATTGACATTTTTCATTAGGGCAAATCAAGTCTGAAATTTCAAAGTGGAAATTACAAACTTTAGAAGCCTTCTAAAAACTCAAATACACTACAAGTTTGCATTTCCTGCAAATTCTCAGAAACAAAAAAGTGATCAAATTAAGATCCTACATCTGTACACACATGTATACCGAAACACTTTACCGTGCCTTCATGTACATATCTACCTGAAATACCTCATACCCCTGCACATTGATCTGGTACTAGTGCTCCCTATATATAGCTCCATCGTATTTTATTCCTAGTTTTTACTATTTTAGTTTTATTATAATTGTTTAACTCTGCATCGTTGGGAAGCGCTCGCAAGCCAGCATTTCACGGTTGAGTCTACACCTGTTGTTTCGGCGCATGTGACAAATACAATTTGATTTGATTTGATTTTAACTCTCCCTCCACCAGATGAATGTGGCCATAGAGCAGAGAAGTGAGACAGACATGATAAATTAGCTCTGCTGGGCGTCAGACAGACATTACAACCCTAACTCTAGGACTGCATCCCAAATGGCACCATATTCCCAATTTAGATCACTACTTTTGACCAGGACCCCATAGGCCCTCTTCAAAAGTAGTGCACTATTTAGGGGATAGGGTGAGTTACATAGGGCTCTGGTCTTAACTGATTTACAGTACCAGTCAAAAGTTTGGACACACCTACTCATTCCAGGGGTTTTCTATATTTTTACTATTTTCTACATTGTAGAATAATAGTGAAGACATCAAAACTATGAAATAACACGTATGGAATCATGTAGTAACCAAAAAAGTGTTAAACAAATAAAAATATATTTTATATTTGAGATTCTTCAAATAGCCATCCTTTGCCTTGACATCTTTGCACACTCTTGGCATTCTCTCCACCAGCTTCACCTGGAATGCTTTTCCAACAGTCTTGAAGGAGTTCCCACATGTTGGCTGCTTTTCCTTCACTCTGCCGTCCGACTCATCCCAAGCCATCTCAATTGGGTTGAGGTTGGGGGATTGTGGAGGCCAGGTCATCTGATGCAGCACTCCATCACTCTCCTTCTTGGTAAAATAGCCACCCTTTGCCTTGATGCCTTGATGCCAGCTTTGCACACTCTTGGCATTCTCTCAACCAGCTTCATGAGGTAGTCACCTGGAATGCATTTCAATTAACAGGTGTGCCTTCTTAAAAGTTAATTTGTGGAATTTCTTTCCTTCTTAAATGCGTTTGAGCCAATCAGTTGTGTTGTGACAAGGTAGGGGGGTATACAGAATATAGCCCTATTTGGTAAAAGACCATATAATGGCAAGAACAGCTCAAATAAGCAAAGAGAAACGACAGTCCATCATTACTTTAAGAAATGAAGGTCAGTCAATCTGGGAAATTTCAAGAACTTTGAAAGTTTCTTCAAGTGCAGTCGCAAAAACCATCAAGTGCAGGATGAAACTGGCTCTCATTTGGACTGCCACTGGAATGGAAGACCCAGAGTTACCTCTGCTGCAGAGGATAAGTTCATTAGAGTTACCAGCCTCAGAAATTGCAGCCCAAATAAATGCTTCACAGTTCAAGTAACAGATACATCTCAACATCAACTGTTCAAAGGGGACTGTGTGAATCAGGCCTTCATGGTCGAATTGCTGCAAAGAAACCACTACAAAAGGACACCAATAATAAGAAGAGACCTGCTTGGGCCAAGAAACACGAGCAATGGACATGGAAATGTTTCCTTTGGTCTGGAGTCCAAATCGGACATTTTTGGTTCCAACCGCTGTGTCTTTGTGAGACGTGGTGTGGGTGAACGGATGATCTCCGCATGTGTATTTCCCACCGTAAAGCATGGAGGAGGAGGTGTTATGGTGTGGGGGTGCTTTACTGGTGACACTGTCTGTGATTTATTTAGAATTCAAGGCACACTTAACCAGCATGGCTACCACAGCATTCTGCAGCGATACGCCATCCCATCTGGTTTGGGCTTAGTGGGACTATCATTTGTTTTTCAACAGGACAGTGACCCAACACACCTCCAGGCTGTGTAAGGGCTATTTGACCAAGAATGAGAGTGTTGGAGTGCTGCATCAGATGACCTGGCCTCCACAATCCCCCGACCTCAACCCAATTGAGATGGTTTGGGATGAGTCGGACGGCAGAGTGAAGGAAAAGCAGCCAACAAGTGCTCAGCATATGTGGGAACTCCTTCAAGACTGTTGGAAAGCATTCCAGGTGAAGCTGGTTGAGAGAATGCAAGAGTGTGCAAAGCTGTCATCAAAGCAATGGGTGGCTATTTGAAGAATCTCAAATATAAAATATATTTTGATTTGTTTAACACTTTTTTGGTTACTACATGATTCCATATTTGTTATTTCATAGTTTTGATGTCTTCATTATCATTCTACAATGTAAAAAATAGTAGAAATAAAGAAAAACCCTGGAATGAGTAGGTGTGTCCAAACTTTGTCAGGTACTCTAGTCAAAAGTAATGCACTTTGTAAGAGATAGGGTGCCATTTGGGACATACCATAACCCTGCTGGTCTGTTCTCTGTCCTGTAGGCTTTATCTGGACAGAGATTAAACAGATGTGGGATGGAGGGTTCCAGGACTATATCCATGACTGGTGGAACCTCATGGACTTTGTTATGAACTCTCTGTACCTGGCTACCATCTCTCTGAAGATTGTTGCCTATGTCAAGGTATGATGGTTGCTGTGCACTAGATAATATGAAATACGCTTGAATAAATTGCGCAACAAATTCTTGAAAATACAACCAGCTTACACTCAGGCTTCATTTAAATGAATAGGAGCGCCTCACGCTCGTCAAAAGTTGTACGGTGGAGCAGGCCTATTGGACAGACTATGGAATGCCGCCTCGCTCTCTCCCTCTCTCTCACAGTAGACTCTGACCTGTCCCCTCTCCGTCTCTCCTTCTCTCTCATAGTAGACTCTGACCTGTCTCCTCTCTGTCTCTCCCACAGTAGACTCTGACCTGTCCCCTTTCCGTCTCCCACTCTCCCACAGTAAACTCTGACCTGTCCCCTCTCTGTCTCTCCCTCTCTCCCACAGTAGACTCTGACCTGTCCCCTCTCCGTCTCCCGCTCTCCCACAGTAAACTCTGACCTGTCCCCTCTCTGTCTCTCCCTCTAACCCACAGTAGACTCTGACCTGTCCCCTCTCTGTCTCTTCCACAGTAGACTCTGACCTGTCCCCTCTGTCTCTCCCTCAGTAGACTCTGACCTGTCCCCTCTCTGTCTCTCCCTTTCTCCCACAGTAGACTCTGACCTGTCCTCTCTCTGTCTCTCCCTCAGTAGACTCTGACCTGTCCCCTCTCTGTCTCTCCCTTTCTCCCACAGTAGACTGACCTGTCCCCTCGCTGTCTCTCCCTCAGTAGACTCTGACCTGTCCCCTCTCTGTCTCTCTCTTTTCCCACAGTACAGCGGCTTCAGGGCCAGGAACGAATGGCAGATGTGGCATCCTACCCTGGTAGCAGAGTCTGTGTTTGCCATCGCTAACATATTCAGCTCCCTCCGCCTCATCTCTCTGTTTACAGCTAACTCACACCTGGGACCTCTACAGGTCAGGATTATCATACTACTGTGTTTCTGTCATTATGTCCAGGAGCAGTATGTATTAAGCGTCTTAGAGTAGGACTGCTGATTTAGGATCAGTTTTTCCTTTTAATTCACAATTAATAATATTACATGGTCAGGGGAGGACCTGATCCTAGATCAGCAATCCTACTCTGAGTAGATTGATACATATGGCCTCTGATCTATAAAGCACTTTGAGCTGCAATTTATTGTATGAAAGTTTCCAGTTTATGATGATGATGATGATGAATATGATTATAATCATTATTCCAGATCTCTCTGGGCAGGATGCTGCTGGACATCCTTAAGTTCCTGTTTATCTACTGCCTGGTGCTCTTGGCTTTCGCTAATGGGCTCAACCAGCTCTACTTCTACTACGAGACAGATGAGGGAAAGAAGGGATGCAAGGGCATCCGCTGTGAAACACAGAACAATGCTTTCTCAACGTTAGTAAAGACCATGCATTATAATGTGTTCATTTGTAACATATTTAAGTTTTGGTAGGGCTAAAAAATTCTGGTAACTTTCCCAATATTCCCAGAATCAGGAGGCAATTAGCAGGAAACCCAGGAATTTCTGGGATTTGGGGAAAGTTACTGGACTTTTGCAACCTTACATTTTTGTCATTTAGACGGATATGTATGTTTTGCCAATTGCCTGGATTAGGGCAAAAGTAGAATGGCAGCCTTTTATGGTCTCTTGACTATTCTTGTAGATCCTGCTTACCTTATACAGTGGTCGATTTTAGCATGTAAATCTTGGTGGGGCAAAAATATAAATAAAATGTGGGATGCGTGCCAGCAAAGCCACAACACAACACTAAACAATACATTAAATTGCACTATGTGGTCCTCTGTAGCTCAATTGATAGATCATGGCGCTTGTAACGCCAGGGTAGTGGGTTCGATCCCCGGGACCACCCATACGTAAAAATGTATGCGCACATGACTGTAAGTCGCTTTGGATAAAAGCGTCTGCTAAATGGCATATTATTACTATAACGGTGACAAACGGTGACCACAAACTGTTAGGGCCTACATAAAGCTGTCCCAACAGCAGAGTTCCAACAGCAGTCCCAACACCTTACCACTGCTACACCTGGCTATCAGCGGAGCCTTGTCTGGCAGCGAAACAGTTCATTCAGCCTCATTTACTGCCTTTAAAAAAAACATAGCTGATATGGCTGACTTGCTTAAACAAATGTGGTTTCTACTGACAAACTATGGCATAAGTGGACGACAAGCGGATAAGAGGCAATCCGTAATTTCGATTAAGACATTAATGAGCGAGCCAGGACGGACGTAGTCAATATAACTATTTGTTCAACACTTTTGAAATGTACAGCGACAGAATTCAGAACATGGGCCGTTCTTACAGTGTTCTCGCTGTACACCAAGTCAGAACCGTAGGATAAATAAAGGGGGCATATAAGCAGACAATGAAAGCTCTAACAATTTCCGATGATTACATTTCTCTAAAACAGGTTATAGGCTACATGTGCACCACCAAGTCAGAATAGTAGGCGACATTAAGAGGTGAAAATAGACTAAATTATTAGGGTGAGACACATGGGCTACTAACAGTTTACTACACAACATACACGTAGTATTACTTTCTTAGCTACAGTATACATATCTCCCTGGCATATTACATCATTTATGCAGCAGCATATAAGACATTTTTAGACTCACCTTATTGTGATGTGCTCATTTGAACAGGAAGGTGGCGCGGCGGTCCTTCATGGGCAAATTTTGTCATCAAAGAAAGAGAAAGAGGCCGGATTTATGACCGTTCAAAACTTATTTTCCCAGTCTGAGCTCGTTTATTCCCGACTTCCCAGTTGCAATGCTTGCAGTTAGCCACTGTCACCGATTCCTTCCAAACCACTCATTGTTGATTTTGCAATTTCCAACTTGCTGTGTAATGTTTATGTCCAATGGCCGATCAGCACCGATACGTTTTATCTATAATTTCTCTTCATTATTTCTCTTCATATGAAAGGATTAAAAAGGATTTGCCAGTAGATTGTTGACTTGATTCATGATGATGACTGCTACCTAATATTTTGAAAGTAAGATGTTGGCATGATCAGTCCAATCAAAGCTACTGTACCTATAATGTGATTTGACGTCATTTTATCTGTGGCCAATGACCTTGAGCCTTCTTGGAAGGGCACTTCTAATGTAACTCTATGGCAGGACCCAAAGGGCTAGAATTTTCAGTGTCTACCCTTACTAAGGACTTAGACTTGGCGGTGACGTAGTGTCCCCATGAGTGACAGAACACTGAGCCAATCACGGCGCAACGCTCCTATTTTCTGCTGGCTTGCCCCACCACCACAGAAAGCTAGGATGAAACACCTGCATTTTTGAGCTGCCTTACTAAAGAAAACAAAAAAGAGACCATGTTTGTATGCTGCTTTATTAACTCAATGATATATTATAATAACATGCAAAAATGTGGGGCTCCTACTGAATGACGGGTTGCCACTGACCTTATATATTTAGAAATATAACCCCCTCATTCTTTCATCCCTCTCTCTCTCTCTCTCTCTCTCTTTCATCCCTTTCTCTCACTCTCTCGCTCTCTTTTATCCCTTTCACTCTCTTTCATCTCTCTCCTCTCATCTCTCATCTCGCATCTCTCATCTCTCTCTCTTTCTCATTTAGGTTGTTTGAGACGCTCCAGTCATTGTTCTGGTCTATCTTTGGGTTGATCAGTCTGTATGTGACCAACGTGGAGGCAGACCATCAGTTCACAGAGTTTGTAGGGGCCACCATGTTTGGAACCTATAATGTCATCTCTCTGGTGGTTCTACTCAACATGCTCATCGCCATGATGAACAACTCCTACCAACACATCGCTGTAAGTGTAACCCTAACCATAACCCTAACGCTAACCCTAGTCATGATGGACAACTGCTACCAACATATTGCTGTGAGTCTTGCTCTATCACTGGAAAGCAAAATCATTCATTCATTCATTTGTTTATGAGCCCAACAACCTGTCTGCAGTCATTTTATTTCACAAAGTTTTGTTCATATCACTTGTTCAGATGGTTAGCATGTGTTGTTTCTGTTCAGGATCATGCAGACATTGAGTGGAAGTTTGCAAGAACCAAGTTGTGGATGAGTTACTTTGAAGAGGGAGGGACTCTGCCTTCTCCATTCAACATCATCCCTAGCCCCAAGTCAATCTGGTACTTCATCTGCTGGATCAGGAAACACATCTTCAAGATCACCAGGACCAAGAAAACAGAAACATTTAGAAACATAGGGGTGAGGAGGAAGTCTCTAGTCTACATCAACAGTACTTTTACTGAACAGTAGGGTTGCAAAATTCCAGTCATTTCCCCCAAATTCCTAGGTTTTCCAGAAATCCTAGTTGGATGATTCCCGGATTTCTTGTTTATTCCTCGCTGATTCTGGGAATCTTCCAACTGGGATTTCTGGAAGACCTGGGAATTTTGGGAAAGTTACCAGAATTCTGCAACTCTACTGAACAGTTTACAGTTGAAACTTCTACTTCTTCTCTTCTCCTCTAGACTCAGAGTGTTGTTCACAACGAATTATCATGAATGAAATTACCTGTTCTTCCCAGAATGGTTAGACGTGCATCATGAGACATAACTGGTCTGAAAGCATCAGCAGTTAGAAGTTAAAGGGATAGTTCAGGATTTTGGCAATTAACCATTATGTCTCTGCGTCCAGTATGAAGGAAGTTAGAGGTAGTTTCGCAAGCCAATGCTAACTAGCATATGCACTAGCTTAGCGAAAAAGACGTAGTGCTTTTGGAGTAAATTAATGTTCCTTTTTTGTAGAAACGGGCTGCTATAAACGTAAGAATAAACCACCAGTATCAGGTATTTATGCGTTTGTTTTTTCACTATAAAATTGATTATTTCTCATTCATTATGTGTCAGTTTTCAATGTGTTTCATTCTGTAGATGCAGATATATTGAACTAGATTTTTCCCAAATGGCACCCCATTCTCTATATAATGCACTACTTTTGACCAGAGCTCTATGGCCCTGGTCAAAAGTATCGCACTACTGTATATAGGAAATAGGATGCCATTTGGGACGCATCCCTGTACCTGTCCACTCTCAGGATGATGTTTTCCATATTATCCTCAGAAGTTGTTAGTAACCCAGGAGTGGAGGTTTTTGATATGATTCTATCAACCTGTGGACTGTGTTGTTTTCAGGAGGTTTTGAGGAACCTGGTGAAGAGATATGTAGCAGCCATGATCAGAGATGCCAAGACAGAGGAAGGACTGACTGAGGAGAACTTTAAGGTAAGGTTTGGTTTCCTCTGACATTACACATTTCTTTACATTTGTTTCTCTATCCACCACCAGACAGGGACGACAGACGAAAAATAAGCATTGTTTCTAACTCCAGCAATTAATGTTGATTAACGTGCACTGTCCACTGTAAATGTCATAAATAGATAAACAAGTTGTATGTGTGTACGTTTCTTTCCTCAGGAGCTGAAGCAGGACATCTCCAGCTTTAGGTATGAGGTCCTGGGGATGATGAAGGGGAAGGTGGGGCCCGGGGGTGAGGGCGTGGCTTTAGCAGGAAGTAAACCCAGTGAAGGGGCAGGGGCCTCCAGTCTGGTCTACCCTGACCACTCCTTCAAGTACTCCCCCAAGTTCCCCCCGGCCACGCCTAAGACCAACATGTTTCACGACACCACATCCGTGCTCCAGCAGAGGGCAGCCCCCTCCACCACCTCCTCCTCCACATCCCCTTCCACCTCTCAGGGCTTGAACAGACTGTTCAACGGCTCTGTGGTACCCTCTTGGGCCTCCACTGACACCTCCTCCAACCCGACCTCCTCCACTCCCATCTCCTCTTCCTCCTCCACTCCCATCCATGCCTCCACCAAAGACAGGCTGGCCAGGAAAGACTTTCCCAAAGACATCTGTGACTTTGGGCTCTACTCTGTGTCTGACGAGATGGGGGAGGCTGACCTGGAGGAGCTGGACTGTGCTGGAGAGAAGGAGGAGCAGGAGGGGAGAGTGAAGAGAGAGAAGAGTCAATGTTAAAACAGACTGTTGAGGATGAGACTGCTACGTAGAAGGACTATAGGGTGAAGGCTGTTTAAAAGACCACAAACGATTTTAATGTATCATTATGATCTGTCTTCATGGAGGCCTGTGTAGTAGCTTGCCTTGCTTCGCCAGAACCAATTCAGCTCTCAGATTAATATATTCTGGTCTATAAAACAGAAGTATAAGCTGGAAAACAGAAGACAAGAAGTCTGTTTCTTGGTCTGTGTCCCAAATAGCACCCTATTCTCTATATAGTGCACTACATTTGACCAGGGGACATAGGGCTCTGGTCAAAAGTTGCGCACTGTATAGGGAATAGGGTGTCATATGGAACAAGCAGATAAGCCGTCATTCTCCGACCAGGATTTCTGGAAAACCTGGGATTTTGGGGAAAGATACCGGAGTTTTGCAACCCTATACGTGGTAGAACTATCAGTATTTGTGAAATCCAGGATTGGGCTCCACTACCACCAGAAGACCAGAAGTAGAGCCTAAAGAAGATTGTTTTTCTATACAGGCGAGTAAGACCTTTAGAAGCGACATGTTCTTTCAAGTGAAATCACAAGAGATGCTATACTGTACATGTAGGGGAGAGTGGGATAAATTGAGCCACCCTTGTTTCTGGGAAACCATACACAAAATTAATAATTTGACCATAATTTGATGTTTAGGAAGAGGTAATTTCATGGATTCTGTGAAGGAAGAAACCACATGGAAAAAGTGGTAAGCAAAAAACGGATTTTCACCAAGTCAAATGAATTTATTGTGTTAGAGGTTTCATGATGCTTGTATCTAAACCAAAGTAGATAATTTTAAGATTGTTCTATACATCAGTTCAATATGAAGTCCTAAACCTAGCATGAAAGTACATCCTAGTAGCTGTGTGGGCTAATAGTCAAAATGTTTGCCTTGGGGTAAGTTGAGCCAATGGCAAGTTGAGCAAATTGAAATGTTTCCTTACCAGGCGTAATGCAAGGCATTATCGCTGGGATAGGAGGTAACAACTTTTAAAAAGTACAGTGTTTGTTAGGTGTTAAGCCTGTGTTAAAAGATGCCTAAAAGTATTTAAAGACAAAAAAGCGATTGTAATCCAATGTGCCGACCTTACAGGTGTAGACCTTACAGTGAAATGCTTACTTACGAGCCCTTAACCAACAATGCAGTTTTAAGAAAAATTTGTGTTAAGTAAAAAATAGATGAGTAAAAATAACAGCAGTAAAATAACAGTAGCGAGGCTATATACAGTGGGTACCGGTACAGAGTCAATGTGTGGGGGCACAGGTTAGTCGAGGTAATTGAGGTAATATGTACATATAGGTAGAGTTAAAGTGACTATGCATAGATAATAAACAGAGAGTAGCAGCAGTGTAAAAGAGGGGGGGGGGGGGGGGGGACAATACAAATAGTTTGGGTAGCCATTTCATTAGCTGTTTAGGAGACTTATGGCTTGGGAGTAGAAGCTGTTAAGAAGCCTGTTGGACCTAGACTTGGCACTCTGGTACCGCTTGCCGTGCGGTAGCAGAGAGAACAGTCTATGACTAGGGTGGCTGGAGTCTTTGACAATTTTTAGGGCCTTCTTCTGACACCGCCTGGTGTAGAGGTCCTGGATGGCAGGAAGCTTGGCCCCAGTGATGTACTGCGTCGTACGCACTACCCTCTGTAGTGCCTTGTGGTCGGAGGCCAAGCAGTTGCCATACCAGGCAGTGATGCAACCAGTCAGGATGCTCTCGATGGTGCAGCTGTACAACTTTTTAAGGATCTGAGGACCCATGCCAAATCTTTTCAGTCTCCTGAGGGGGAATAGGCTGTGTCGTGCCCTCTTCATGACTGTCTTGGTGTGTTTGGACCATGAAAGTTTGTTGGTGATGAGGACACCAAGGAACTTGAAGCTCTCAACCTGCTCCACTACAGCCCCGTCGATGAGAATGGGAGCGTGCTCGGTCCTCTTCTTTTTCCTGTAGTCCACAATCATCTCCTTTGTCTTGATCACGTTGAGGGAGAGGTTGTTATCCTGGCACCACACAGCCAGGTCTCTGACCTCCTCCCTATAGGCTGTCTCATCGTTGTCGGTGGCTACAGATGTGAGTGCTACGGGTCGGTAGTCATTTAGGCAGGTTACCTTAGTGTTCTTGGGCACAGGGACCATGGTGGTCTGCTTGAAACATGTTGGTATTACAGACTCACTCAGGGACAGGTTGAAAATGTCAGTGAAGACACTTGCCAGTTGGTCAGCGCATGCTCGGAGTACATGTCCTGGTAATCCGTCTGGCCCTGTGGCCTTGTGAATGTTGACCTGTTTAAAGGTCTGACTCACATTGGCTATGGAGCGCGTGATCACACAGTCGTCCAGAACAGCTGATGCTCTCATGCATGCTTCAGGGTTGCTTGCCTCGAAGCGAGCATAGAAGTAATTTAGCTCATCTGGTAGGCTCGTGTCACTGGGCAGCTCGCGGCTGTGCTTCCATTTGTAGTCTGTAATAGTTTGCAAGCCCTGCCACATCCGACGAGCGTCGAAGCCGATGTAGTACGATTAAATCTTAGTCCTGTATTGACGCTTTGCCTGTTTGATGGTTCGTCGGAGGGCATAGAGGGCTTGTACTCCTGCTAGCAAAACAGTCTTGTAGCTTAGCATCTGCGTCATCTGACCACTTCTATATTGACCGAGTCACTGGTGCTTCCTGCTTTCGTTTTTGCTTGTAAGCAGGAATCAGGAGGATAGAGTTATGGTCAGATTTGCCAAATGGAGGGCGAGGGAGAGGTTTGTACGCATCTCTGTGTGTGGAGTAAAGGTGGTCTAGAGTTTTTTTTCCTCTGGTTGCACATTTAACATGCTGGTAGAAATGATGTAAAACGGATTTAAGTTTCCCTGCACTAGGAGCGCCACCTCTGGATGAGCGTTTTCCTGTTTGCTTATGGCCTTATACAGCTCATTGAATGCGGTCTTAGTGCCACCATCGGTTTGTGGTGGTAAATAGACAGCTACGGAAAATATAGATGAAAACTCTCTTGGTAAATAGTGTGGTCTACAGCTTATCATGAGATACTCTACCTCAGGTGAGCAAAACCTCGAGACTTCCTTAATATTAGATTTCGTGCACCAACTGTTGTTTACAAATATACACAGACCGCCACCCCTTGTCTTACCGGAGGCAGCTGTTCTATCTTGCCAATGCAGTGTATATCCTGCCAGCTGTATGTTATCCATGTCGTCGTTCAGCCACGACTCGGTGAAACATAAGATATTCGTTTTTAATGTCCTGTTGGTAGGATATCCGTGATCTTAGTTTGTCTATTTTGTTATCCCATGATTGTACGTTAGCTAATAGGACTGATGGTAGAGGCAGATTACGCACTCGCCGTCGGATCCTTACAAGGCACCCCGACCTATGTCCCCGATATCGACGTCTCCTTTTAATGCGAATGACAGGGATTTGGGCCTTGTCGGGTGTTTGAAGAAAATCCTTCACGTCCGACTCGTTAAAGAAACAATCGTCATCTAGTACGAGGTGAGTAATCGCAGTCCTGATATTCAGAAGCTCCTTTCGGTCATAAGAAACGGTGGCAGAAACATTATGTACAAAATAAGTTACAAATAACGCGAAAAAACACACACAATAGCACAATTGGTTAGGAGCCCATAAAACGGCAGCCATCTCCTTCGGCACCATTACTTGTGTTAAAGATAGGTTTTAAAAAGGTAGTGGTAATATTTCATTCAGAAATTTGAAGGCGGCTTAACTTACCCTGTCCAATGGTTCAACTTAGTTGTGCCAAGAGACTACTTTTTTTGGACAAGCTATGTTTTTAAAACTGTAATGTTTACTTGAATTCTGATCATTTCCAAAGATACACAACATCCTGAAATATATGTAGATATCTTTGTTAGAAAGAATACTATATTTCCCTTGACGTAGTGATACTGAATGTAAAAAAATGGCTAAACTTACCCAATTCTCCCCTGCAACCTAATGTTGACATGGCTTAGCTTGTGAAATCCAATTCCTTAGCGGTTAGCTTTTTGTGAGGAATTCCCCACGTTCTTACCATATGATGCTATACTCAGTACTCACAGTAACACTGCATACTAACTCAGCTCCCAGCATCCCATTGTTAACCTTAAAGGGGCAATCTGAGATTGGTACATCCATTTGTGCATATTTTTGGTGGCTTTTTATAGCTCTGTTTATGAGTGTTTTTTTCTTTAGGCCCATCCCTCAGCTTTTTACCAAAACAAGTGACGTTGTTACCACTTTGTGGTTTTTTGAATCCCAGATTTGCCCTTTAAGGTAAGATACTGGGACTCTCAGCATCCCATTGTTAACCTTAATGACATAATACTGCATTCACATATGAAATATTGCATTGCATTCTGTTATTCTGATTATGCAAGTTGATTAGATATGTATCATTTCTGAGGGAGTGCTAATGTTGCAAGTATTTTTATTGTATTTTATTTTGGGCATTCATTCAAGCTCCAGAGGCCTATACAACATGAATCAATAAACATAATATGTTTTTAACATAAATGTTTTGAAGTCAGTATCACCATCCTTTCAACAAACAGTGAGAGGTTCTCACATACATAGCACCATATCACTATTCCTCATACAGCTTTTTGCACTTCCATGGATATTCTCAGCTTCACACCTACAGACCTGCTGGAGTGTCTCATCGAGTCATTAGATCTCTGTCTCCATGGTAACATGAATCCTTTTCTATAATGAAGGTACTTCACTGCTACTTCAGACTGGTTAAGGTCACACAGAGGAACCCTCGCTTGGCTGAGATACCTGTTGAAAGTCGTAAACGCAACTTTTTTTTGTACTATTTTGTCCCTGCTCCTCTTACATATTTTTTAAAATAGTTTTTATGATAGGATAGATAGGTACAGTTTGGGAGATAGACATAAAATATTTAAGGTATTTAAGGGCACAGACAGACGGCTGAGCCGGGGCTCGAACCACCGTTGCCCTGTCGCACTATGGGCTCTGGTCAAAAGTAGTGCACTTCATAGGGAATAGGGTACCATTTCAGAGTCAGACATAGCCAATCTTTCCTACTGCTCCTCTCCCCAGTCACTCAGTTCAAGCAGTCTGCTGCCCTTTACAGGGAAAAGCCACACTGCATGTGTTAAATGTGTTAACCAGTCTGGGTGTTAAAACATTGTCATTACTCTCTCATCTAACATGGACATGCTGCTCCAGGAGATTGCCTAGTTCCTCTGGCTAATGGAAATACTTAATTATGGATTGTAGAGTGAATTGATTGTAGATTGTTTAATAGGATTATAAACTGTAAAAAATCACCATGGATGTGGTGGGACCCTTACCCTGACTGCCAGTCTGTGGTGCTCTCATGCAAATTCCTTTTCACTCATTGTTATGTTTGGCTTGACAATGACAGCGATTGGAGTTGGGAAACCCTGGCTTTGGATTATGGGCTGAAAAGAACTGCCTGCATTCTCCACCATATATGTCATAAACTGTGAGGGTTAGGGTTCAGGGGACGTGTACTGTGAAGTTTCTCGTGTGTATACTGTGTACTGTGTATTGTGTAGTTTCTGGTGTGTATACTGTGTACTGTGTACTGTGTAGTTTCTGCTGTTTGTGCAGAATCTAGTGAACAGTAGGAGTGTTCTGTTCCTCTAACCATATACAGAGAGAGAGAGACACACTGCCCTGCCTGACAGGTGTCATCCTCCGACAACCTTAGGCACCTCCTCACTCACAGTCTGGACTAATCATCTTCCTATGGGTGTCACCTGTGTCTACCTGTTCACCTGTGTATTTATGCCCTCACTTCCCTGTGTTCCCTTGCTCAATATTCTCTGCTAGTTTCACTATGCCAAGCAGTACTAATCAGTGTCTGATCATGGGACGCATGGACAGGTACGTGAGAAGTGTTCTCCCTGTTTATTTATTATTTCAGTCATAGTTAGTATTTCGTATTTTTGGCTGTCTGCCTGTTTTTTGGAGTCTTATTTGCTCCGCCTTTCTTTTTCGTGTAAAGTCCGTTATTTTGTATCCTGGCTTCGGGACCATCAGTAAAGTTCCTTGTTTCACCATCTCTGCCTACTGTCTCTCCTGCACCGCACCTGGGTCACACCTCACACCAACCCTTACAGAAAACTGAGCCACTATGGACCCAGCGGAGGCAGCACTGTATCATAGCGCATTGGCAACGCAGGGAGCCATGCTGAACCAGCACGACCGCAGCTGACGATCGCCATGCAGAGCCGGGTGGACACACGACCAGCACCAGCAGCCGGCGGAGCGGAAGCCGCGGCAGCGTCGTCTCCGGTCTCGCCTGCGACATCGCGGGAACCCCGCCTACCACCTCCGGAGAGGTACGACGGACGTCCAGAGGGCTGCAGGGAATTCCTCAACCAGTGTTCCCTGATATTCAGCCTATAACCCTCCTCCTTCCCGACGGAGCAGGGCCGGATGGCCTACATTATCACTCTGTTGACGAGTTGGGCCCTTTCCTGGGCTACCGCGGAGCGGGAGAGCCAAACTCCAGCATGCTCCGATTCCTACCTATTCACCCGGGAGCTACGCAAGGTGTTCGACACCTCTCGGGTGGTGTCGGGGCACGAGGCCGGGAGGCGGCTCACGGCCTGTCGGCAGGGTGACCGTTCGGTGGTGGACTACTCCGTGGAGTTCCGGACCCGGGCTCGAGAGGCAGGATGGGAGGAGGCCGCCCTGGTCGTCCTTTACGCTCAGGGGCTATCGGAGGCGATGAAGGATGAACTCTCCTTCAGGGAGCTGCCTGAGCGACTGGACGGCCTAGTCGAACTCTCTGTGCGGGTAGACAATCGGCGTTGTGAGAGAGCGCATGAGAGAGACATGACGCAAGGCGCGTTTCTGTGTCTCCCTATCAGCCCGGAGGCTTTCAGCCAATTCAGGGAGGAGATGCCTCAGGAGGAGGCTATGCAGCTGGGTGCGGCACGCTTGTCCAGGATTGAGAGGCAGAGGCGTCTGTGCCAGGGACGTTGCCTGTACTGCGGCCAGACCAGTGACCACTGCAAATCATGCCCGGAGAAGCCGGGAAACGGGAGGGCTCGCTAGTATTGGGAGGGGTGCTAGCGAGCCGGAACCGAAACCCCAACTCCAGAGACTTGCGTAGGGCGCATGCACTGGTGGATTCTGGGGCCGCGGAAAACCTGATGGACGCGGGGCTGGCTCAAGGGTGGAGCGTTCCGTTACTCTCCCTCCACGAGCCGGTTCTGGTCATGGGCCGGGTCGGGCTTCATCACCCGGCGCACTGTTCCCGTGCGTGTCCGGGTGGTGGGGGGGCTATGGGAGGATATCCAGTTTTTCATTGTGGACTCTCCGGAGCTCACCTCGTCCTCGGGCACCCCTGGTTGGTCGCCCACAAACCCCAGATAGACTGGTCCATGGGGTGGCTCATCCTGGAGGGAGGCGCCGCCCCCGTCCTGTTCCGGTCTCCACCGACCACTCATCAGCCCAAACCACCGTCCCAGACCACCTACCAGTCCTTACCTCTTCCCCAGGTCCCACACTCCGAATCCACCTACCGCCATAGTGGCGGTTGCCACCGGGAGGACGGCAGCTACAGACTCCGTCACCGACCCAGACCTGGCAGGCGTTCCCTGTGAGTATTGGGATCTGGGGAGATATTTAGTAAGAGGCGTGCCAAGTGCCTACCTCCTCATAAGCCATATGACTGTGCTATCAATCTCCTGCCGGGCGCCATGCCCAGACGAGGGTGATTGTTTTCCTTGTCTTGGCCGGATACGCTGGATTCGGGAGGGGGACGAGTGGAAGACAGCGTTTAACACACCCAGTGGGCATTACGAGTACCAAGTCATGCCGCTTGGTCTAGCCAATGCGCCTGCAGTGTTCAAGGCGTTGGTCAATGACGTGCTCGGGGACCTCCTCGACTACAGCGTCTTCGTGTATTTGGATGATATCCTCATATTTTCTAAGGACATGAGTGAACACCAGCAGCACGTTTGGCAGGTCCTCCAATGCCTTCTCCGTCACCAGCTCTAAGTCAAGGCGGTAGGGTTATCTCTATGGTCCTGCCAACCTCACATTTCTCTGTCTCTCATAGCTCATGTGAGGCAGCTCAATACAGTGATTGACTTGTTAGCTGGTTTGTTTTGTGCAGACTCAACTCTTCAAATTGCTCTGAGAAACAATTTGATTTGATTGCCCCATTTCCAAAGGTACAGTAAAGTTGCACAGCTCACACATTTGAAAAATGACATTTCAAACACATGTAAACAATCAACAGATCATAAAAATATATGATCTTATTCCTTTCTGTTAGATGTTAGGTGATAACTGACCCATATCACCCACAAACACTGGCATCTTGAGGGCTCTCTTCCTCTCCTCTCCTCTCCTCTCTATTACATGCTCCTTTCCTCTCCAATAGTCATAGGCTCCTCTATGTCACACTCCCCTCAGTCCACTAGGTGGGGCTTAACACAAACTGTTACTTCTGACAGAATCCACTTCTCACTCCTACCTCTGGGTGTGTGAGTTTTGTTTGTGTGGTTTAATAATTGGGGAATTGATACACAGATCTGTGACTGGCACTGGAGGAAGCAGCTCCTGTAGGTCCATCTGGAGTGTGTTTGTGGCTTTCTAAATCTGGAGGCCAGCTTTGTTCTGAATAAAAATGACTTACAGCCTCCAGTGGTGCCTGCCTGTTCACAGAGGTGACTAATACTGCAATATGGTACCATGTCTGTCTGGACCTTGTCTGTCTAGAACAGGATACCTCTCTGTCTAGCTACTTGTTTTCAGACAGGAACGGTTGATCTACAGTCTGTGATTTTTCTGTGATTTTTTCCCAGGAATTTAAACGTAATCTTAACAGAATCTGAAGTACAAAATCTGAAGTGGGAGCAAATGATCAGTATCAAAATGATTACTAAATAACGATCTCAATTATGACAATACCTTCCATTAATCCTACAACTATTACCCCGTACAGTAGCATGTCTCACCACACAGTATTAGTGTAGAGTGAGTAACATGGTCTTGGAGGGGTGCTGGGTGGTCCAGGTGTGGGTCTGACTTTGGTGTGTTGCATTCCTCCCTCTTAGTTCCTCAACCAGCCAGCCTAGTGAGTCTCTCCTACTATATAAGCTCCCTCTCCCCAGCCTGCTCCCATTTCTCAGTGTTTCTGTGTATCTGGAGGAGCTTCCTGGGATATCATCATGAAGATCCTGTTTGCAGCTCTCTTTGCTGTGTTTGTCCTGTCTAACTTTGACGTGGCGGACTCCTCTTCCTATGATAAGATAGTCTACCACAGTAAAGTCAGGGCAAGAAAAGAGGGGTACGTTTATTATTTGTAACTGTTATTATCATTAGTAGTAGTATTGTTATTATTATTGGTATTATTATTGTTATTATTGTTATTATTATTATTATTATCTGAAAGACTTGCTCTGCATTCACTGATTTATGCTGATGTATACACATTCTCTACAAAAGTGTAATGCAAAAGCTGTTTTTAATCCAAACTTTTGCTGAGTTGAAACACTACTCTTTTTCTGCTTTTATGATAATTTACGGAAACAAATTCTATCAGAGACTTTAATTCTGAATATGATTATTTCATAATTGATATATTGATCATGCTTTAAAGTTCACTAAACTACATTTAAGAGCTAATGTAAAGAACTTGCTATGTCAGATAAATTTTTACGAAAGCAAATATTACCAAATTGAAAAAACTGAAACAACTGTGAATGTGAAATAACGATAAGAGATCAAACAGAACTACAGTATTTATTACACGTTACACTGCATGCAGAACACTGTAGCTATTTCAGCTGTGTTCATTTAACCATCTGTCTCCTCTGTTTCCCTGGCGACCGTTAGACCCAACGTGTGCGCTCTGCAGCAGGTCATGGGGACTAAGAAGAAGTACTTCAGCACGTGTCGTAATTGGTATCAAGGGGCCATCTGTGGAAAGAAAGCGTAAGTGACGTTTAGTTCTTTTTTTAGGCTCCTCCTGGACACATCCTTTCCTCTCGGTTCAAATATGAATAAAATGACACTGCTAGGTTTAGGGTCAGAGCTTTGATAGGGACCTCTGTAAGGACCACAGAGGATGTGTCCCAAATGGCACTGTATTACCTATATAGTGCACTACATTTGACCAGAGTCCATAGGGGGTCATAGGCTTCTGGTCAAAAGTAGTGCACTATACAAGGAATAGGGTGCTATTAGGGACACAGGCATGGACCAAGGAATGATGTAGTCCCATGTGCCACACAGAAATGTCCAAATGGACACAGGATGATCCCTAGTGCCATGGAAACTCATATGGACCACAGAACCTCGGAGCAGAGCTTAATAATAACAATAATAATTAAGTGGGTGCTTATAATTTTGTCCTTTTTCACACATGTACAAGTAAGTGTGTATTAATATGCATGTGTGAATTGGAAATGTGTTTTTTTTGCATATCCCAACTCCCCCTGAGACACCCTCAGAGAGTGGGGTCACAGCGAGGGGTAACATTCCCTCACTTGGAAGTCAGTGTAACAGATTTATGTGCCTTTCGTGAGGCTTTGAATCAGTTCCAGAGTTCAATATGGTACGGATTATACGGGTTATGTGTTATGGTACGGGTTTTACGGGGTATGTGTTATGGTACGGGTTATACGGGGTATGTGTTATGGTACGGGTTATACGGGGTATGTGTTATGGTACGGGTTAAACGGGGTATGTGTTATGGTACGGGTTAAACGGGGTATGTGTTATGGTACGGGTTATACGGGGTATGTGTTATGGTACGGGTTTTACGGGGTATGTGTTATGGTACGGGTTATACGGGGTATGTGTTATGGTACGGGTTATATACTGTTGAATGCACCAATTTGTAAGTCGCTCTGGATAAGAACGTCTGCTAAATGACGTAGATGTAAATGTTATATGGGGTAAGTGTTATGGTACGGTTTAAACGAGTATGTGTGTAGATTTACAATCACCCTTTAGAACCAGTCAGGAAGTTTGAAGATATGTCCCAAATGGCACTCAATTCCCTATATAGTGCACTATTTTTGACCAGAGCCAAAAGTAGTACACTATATAGGGAATAGGGTGCCATTTGGGACGCAACGGGGGTTTTAGGGAAGATAACAAAGGTCTGTGTTATCTTTGACTCATTTCGTCACTAACATCGGAGGAATGTTTAATGTAGGAGGATGACCTACCATCAAATACCCTCTCATCTTCATCCATGTTGAGAAACAAAGAGACCTTTAATGGAACTATGCCTGAACTTGAACTTGAGAGGGAGAGTAGTTAAGAAGGATAGGTTTAATTAACATAAAAATGAACAGCACTCAAGATTAATCTAGGAGGATGACAGACCATCAAATACCCTCTCTTCATCCAGTGTATGTTGGGGAACAAAGACTACTCTGAAGGAGAGGAGTTCAGAGGGTTTAGTAATGAACGTCAAAGGAACAAGATTTAAGATTATAACTCTTACTATGGTTATGATGGTTATTATGGTATGGTGAGCGTGGTCGCCGTAGGGACGCCACAGTGGTGCACCGCTGGTTCCTGGCTCTGATAGGGCAGTAATGTGTCAGCCATATTTACTGGTTGGAGGTTGAAACAGTGGAAACTCTCTGAGTACAGACAGAGAGGACAGAGCCCACATAGTACAGAGAGGTTTCCCACATAGTGCTGCTCACATAGTGCTGCTGCTCACATGGTGCTGCTGCTCACATGGTGCTGCTGCTCACATGGTGCTGCTGCTCACATGGTGCTGCTGCTCACATGGTGCTGCTGCTCACATGGTGCTGCTGCTCACACGAAACAGACACTCAGTACAACCACATAGTATTTCGAGGACCACATTGGAAAAAAGTGCATTTCCAATGTACTTTCATGTGTAACCTAGGATTTATTTCTACTTTTCAATTGTTTTAAACTGTATGGATTGTTTTACCAAAAAATAAATCAAATCAAATAACAGAATATTTCCCATGGTTCCAGCTCTCTTATTGACTTTCTGATCCATGCTGGACTCAGGCCACATCCTTGTTCGCTATCATCAGTTTGACAGCATGGACACTGCTGCTGGGTTGTGTTGCATGGTGATGCACTTACACTCTTAGATGCTGAGTCGTAATAGTGTTCTATGCTAGCTATGCTCTTGGATGCTGAGTAGTGTTCTATTCTCCGGGATCCTGAGTAGTGTTCTATGCTCCTGGATCATGAGTAGTGTTATATGCTAGCTATGCTCCTGGATGCTGAGTAGTGTTCTATGTTCTTGGACGCTAAATAGTGTTCTATGTTCGTGTATGCTGAATAGTGTTCTATGCTCTTGGATGCTGAGAAGTGTTCTATGTAGCTATGCTCTTGGATGCTGAGGATTGTTCTATTCCAGGTATGCTCTGCAACTAAGAACACTGACACACAGCCAAATAATGTGATCTATGTTGATGAGGAATTCTTGGATTGTTTGTCTGTCTATTCTTTTTATGCAATCAATCAAACCACAGTATCCATGCCAAGGCACCACCATCAGGGTGCACAGAACATTGTATATTTTTTTTTAATTATTACTTTTTTTAAAACCTCCACACCTCAGAAGTGGTAGCTAAAAATAGGTACATTCAGAGCAGTTTAAGGGGAGAGTCAATGAAACCGTCTCTAGATCTGGGTTCGATTCCCGGTTGGGGCTACCCCCCGAATTCGCTACAACATATTTCCATGGTTGGTTTCATTGATTCTCCCCTTAAACTGCCCCTAACAACTTCTGAGTCTGTTGGAGAGGATCGGCTTGAGCAAAGTGATGTGCAGAATCACTGATCTACAAATAGAATTCCCTCCCAAATAATAGGCTTTGTCGAACCCGGGTCCAGCGACTGTCAAACCAAAACCTTAACCGTTACACCAATGGGTCCAAACCCCTTGGCGTAATGGTTAATGTGTTTGCTTCTATGGTTGGGGTCATTGACTGTCCCCTTAAACTGCCCCATAATTGACCCATTTTAAGAATTGAAGAATTGACCCATAGAAAAAAACCACAGAAAACTACCAAAAACAACTGGTCCTGCTCATAATGATAGGCTACATCATTAGTAATGATGTGTTTATTGGAAACAGCACAGTTTTCTCCATTGACCACATGCCAGTACTACAGTAGTGTTGGTTTGGCTGGCTGACATACAGAGATCTCCAGTATAAAGTAGAGCTGCTGACCAGACAGAGGGAAGTTTCCAACCCCGGGGCCAGGCCAGAGGGAGTCTTGGTTCTCCTGTATGTGCGTGGGAGAGTGGAGATGGTTTTGCTGACTGTGCCTCATCAGGGCATGTGTGATCTCATGCCTGGCTCATCTCCCCACTCCTCCTCTTCTCTGTGTTTCCAGGGGCTAAGTTCCAAAGACAACTATGGCAGTCAGCCATGAGCCATGAGCCATGATCTCTTCTCTCCTCATCTGCATCCCTATTGGCACCCTATTCCCTCAATCTCAACTCTGAACCTCAAAGCCAGTTTCATCGTTTTTTCATAGTTGCCCTCTAATCAGGGAGTGATTTAGACCTGGGACACCAGGTGGATGCAATTAATAATCAGGTAGAAGAGAAAACCAGCAGGCTCCGGACCTGGTAGGGTAAGATATGGGCCCTGGTTAAAGTGGTGCATTATATAGAAAATAGGGTGCCATTTGGGACGTAGCCCTTCTCATCGTACAGCAGGCCTTGATCTGCTCTGTTTCTGTCTGCTCTGTGTGTGAGCATTTGCGTGCATGTGTGTGTGAGAGATGAGCCGTGGATGACAGACCTGAACACCCCACCACACTGTAGCCTCATCGTCTGTCGCTATGAAGGATACAAGCCACTGTAAACCTCACTCCATCCTGCCCTCGACCCCCTCTCTCTCCACTCAAACTCTTGATTTAGACAAGGCTGTATTGTCCTATTATGGACCCAGCTACCACTGGAACATGGAGAACATGTGGAAATGTTTTTCTGGTTTGCAGGCGTCCCAGGGGGACCGCTGATGAAGACGCACAGCTGGACTTAAGTTCCAAGCCACCACAGACTGTGCAACCATTACTCAAAAACCATTACTCTGGAGAAAAGAAACTAAACTCCCAACTACCATCATCCAGACATGAGTTAGTGAGTTATCTAGGTTCAGCATCATGCAGGGTGAGCTCACTGGGCACAGACGTCAATTCAAAGTCTAATTTTGTTAAAATAACTTTGAAACAATGTTGATTCAACCAGTGTGTACCCAGTGGGAGGGTTCATACAGCATAAAGCTTTCTCCAGTGATCTGTAACCCACAGAGATTTCAGTTTCACAACCATGTAAGGTCTGGTCAACATCAAGCTGGACATCTATCTCCTACCATAGCCTACTTCATGTATCGTTATTTGTATATTCAGCATTTGCTGGTTTGTTGTACTGTTTAGAATTTCTGCAGCCGAAAACAGTTGAATAGTGTGCTGTCAAGGGGTGTACTTGTACATCAAGCTGCCTCACGTCTGCCTCTGGCTCAGAAAAGGCTTACTTACATTTGACATTTTAGTCATTTCTTCTTCTTAAACAGTGGAATACACCCTGTGGCATTTACTGACATATCATAAAGCAAGGTCTGTAAATTCTCCTCTCTCAACAATACCTCTGGCTCTGCACAAATGGAAGCATCATTGTTCTGCTTTAACGAGTCATGTCATGGTTTATGAGGTGTGGGATTATGAAATGGACTAGCTAGCTGGTTCTAGTCTGTGTCCCAAATGGCACCCTTTTCCCTTTATAGTGCACTACTTTGATCAGTGCCCATAGGGCTCTGGTCAAAAGTAGTGCACTATATATAGAGTAGGATGCCATTTAAGACTCAAATAGTGTCCTTCTATGGTTTTTGTCTATTAAAACAACGGAGCTGGAAGGGCTCTGCTTATAATTTATTTATTTAACTCTGACAACTTTGTTGTACTGTTTACAGTTTTAATACCTATATAGGAGCTGATTACAGCTAAAGAGAGAGATGAAGAGTAGTCACGGGGCCTCTGGGGTTTCTCAGAGTGGATAAATCAGACTTTCATCTGTACTGTAACTCTCACTCAAGCTCAGAAACGCGCATAAACACACACACAGACACTCTCTCACACACACACACACACACACACACACGCATGCACACAAACGCTCAGACATGATCTACAGGGTTAGGCCCTTTATATAGCTAACAGCTGCAGTCTGTGTGGACGAGATTACAAAACATCTGGCTTTATTACAGTCCATGTGCAGAGGTGTCATAAGGAGACATGGTATGTGTCCCATTTGGCTCCCTATTCCCTTTATAGTGCACCACTTTTGACCAGGGCCCATATTTCCATTATTCCCATAGGGCTCAGGTCAAAAGTAATGCACTATGAAGGGAATAGGGTGCCTTTTGGGACGCAGCCCAAGTCTGAAAGCATCAGTCTTTGATACATTTCATGTGTACTGCAGAGGTGTCATACAGATACATGATGATATTAAACAGTTTCCCAGCTAACAATTCTAGGGAGAGAAAAGGGTTTTGTAATGTTACCCGTAATGTTCCCATAATGTTTGAGTGTCCAGTTTTCCATTAGTTAGGGGAACATTCTATCTATGTTAGCAAAAACCTTCTGAGAACATTTTTAGCATGTTTTGGCATTAGAGCTACGAGAAAATACCCATAACGTGGTTACCATGTTCTCAGAATGTACAATATTAATGTTCTAGACACGATTCATTGGACGTTGCAAGAACATTCATGTGTCCAGTTTTTTTTAGGGTTAGGAGAATGTTCCGTCAACGTCCCACCAAACATACACAGAAAATGGTTGCCGTGTTCTCAGAATATAAGATATTAATGTTCTAGACACGTTTTATGGGAACGTTGCAAGAACATTCACGTGTCCAGTTTTCTGTGGGTTAGGAGAATATTCCATCAACCTCACCCCAAACGTCCCCCCAAACATACCAAGTGTGACGAGTACTGAGGATACGAAGAGGCAGGACGCAGACACAGGAATGAACAAGGTAAAGGTTTACTTAACAATGAGAAAGAGAATAACAAGGAGCGCGTAAACGACACGACGCTAACAATTACACACAACAATGACTGAACAGTCCAGGGCTATATAGTGCTGATGATGAGATGATGAGGTGCAGTTGCGCTGGAGGTGATTCGGGTGCATTGGGTTTTCCATTCCTGTGTTGCCAAGGTGGTGCGCTCAGACCGGTGGCTTAGTAGACCGGTGAGTCAGAGCGCCGGAGGGCAGCAACGGGGTAAAGGAAATGGTCTCTTAGAAACATTCCTTGCATAACATGGGAACATTCCTATTTAAATGTTAGTTAATGACTCAATGAGACTCTTAAGGGAACGTTCTCTAAAGTTGTGGGAATGCTTGTTGTTAGCTGGGTTGTAATGTCATGGAGTTTAATTAAAGAGCCACTCAAAACCTAATGAGACCTGTTCTGTTTTTGTGTCTCTATGATTACGACTGCTGTTAAAAGCTGTTTGATTTAGATTAAAGATTACAGTGCCATTTCCTCCCATGATTCCCCCCCCCCCAAGTCATTTCTAATGAGCTAGTCTGTTACAGTTTAATTTCCTATCCGAGGTTTCCGACTGCTTACGGATTTGATTGCAATGCGCAATTTCAAGACCAAAAACATAATGTCTTAGAGGTTAACCAAGGCTGAATCATGGAGTAGAGGGCTAGACTAAATATTTAACTTCAAAGGGGCAGGGTCCTTGGTAAATGGCACCCTATTCCCTACAAAGTGCATTATATATGGAATAGGGTGCCATTCGGGAGGCAGACATAGTTTATGTATCTATACAATGTGGTAGCATTACCCAGGAGGCTTGCTGGCCTGGGCCCTGGGACCACATGTCCTTATAGTTAATAAAAAAGATAATGAGGACCATGGGAAAAAACTGAACACAACACACACACACACACACACACACACACACACACACACACACAGGAGCATGAAATAGCCTTTCAGTACAGACATTAGTGATGATTCAGCTGAAATATACTAGGATGAACTCCAGAGTAAATATACGATGTGCTCTGTTGTACTGAAAGACGTTCTAGAACACTGTAATTACATGGGATGTGGTAATTACTGTTTTTGTACACTGACTCTGAATATTCAAAGGATAGGGTATGTCTTTGTCTCTAGCTCGTGACCTGTCCGTCTGTCTTTGTCTGTGTGTCGTCTCTGTCTCTAAAGCGTGATCTGTGTGGGATGTCTCCATCTCTCCCTCCTCTCTGTCTCTAACGTGTGTGTCCCTGTGTTATCTGTTGGACAGTTCTGTTTATGATGTGTCTCTGTGTGTTGTCTCCATCTCTAAAATGTGACGTGTACATGTGTTGTCTCTGTCTCTAAACTTGGTCTCTGTGTGTTGTCTGTAGGACGGTGCTGTATGAGTGATTTGTCCCTCAACATGGCATGTCTGTGTCTCTATGTCTGTAGGATGGTGCTGTATGAGTGATCTGTCCCTAAACATGGCAAGTCTGTGTCTCTACGTCTGTAGGATGGTGCTGTATGAGTGATCTGTCCCTAAACATGGCATGTCTGTGTCTCTATGTCTGTAGGACGGTGCTGTATGAGTGCTGTCCAGGTTACATGAAGCTGGAAGGAATGAAAGGATGCCCTGCAGGTATGTAGCTACAGTCGGTTACAGTGTATGTAATGTCATAGGGTACAGGATACGCGGTGTACTCAAGTTTGAAGTGCACTTAATGTTATAGTGTACTTCAAAGCTTAAACTAGAGGTTAAACGAAGACATATCAAGGGGTATTGCATTTTCTCATTAAATTCACGAGTCACAACGCCACACCAACATAAAGATTCAGTTGGTACATCATCCTACCCATGCATGTTTCCTTTTAGTGTCGTCCGGCTGTCTTTGGGGTTCTTTAGAGTTGTTAGAGCTGTTTTAATGAGACTTGTGTTCGTCCCAAATGGCACCCTATTCCATATGTACTGCACTACTTTAGGGCTCTGGTCAAAAGTAGTACACTATATAGGGTATAGGATGCCATTTGGGATCACTCCCGGTATATACGGGGATGTAGTCATTATGGTACCTTCTCTTCCCTGTTCCAAAGTGGCCCCTATAGACAATGTGTATGGTACCTTGGGCCTGGTCAAGGCCATCTCCACCCAGGAATACTCTCACATCTCCAAGCTGAGGGAGGAGATAGAGGGATCTGGGTCATACACCTTCTTCGCTCCCAGCAATGATGCCTGGAACTTGTTAGATGGGGTAAGTTAGGATAAGTATAATCTCTTAAAGCTGGAAAATTCCAGGTAATTCAGTCCATCAGTTGAACACATCAGCGATAGTAGTGACTATTCCAAAACCAAAACCATTCAGTGCTTGTAATGTGACCATTTAAAAGAGCTACAACATAAAACACCAGAATGTGTGGTTGATTGACCTGAACCCTGCAGTCAATTGCTGTAAGTATATGTCATCACTTTTTGTTAAGTATTTATGTTATCTTAAGCCTTTCTATTCTGCATTTATTTAACAGGAAGCGCGTAGTGCGTTGGTGAGCAACGTGAACATTGAGCTGTACAACGCCCTGCACTACCACATGGCTAACAAACGCCTGCAGACCAAAGACCTGAAGAACGGCCTGGTGGTCACCTCCATGTACAATGACCTGGGACTCTACATCAACCACTACTCCAACGGGGTGAGCATCCTACTAGATCTACACAACATCATCTTTTCCCAAATGGCAACCTACTATGTAGTGCACTAATTTTGACCAGCGCCCATGAAATGTATTGGAAATCCGATAGTTTCCATGCCATGAGATAGGAAAGTTGACATCATGGAAAGCTAAAGCTTTATTGTGTGCAGGTATTTGTTGAAGGCTGTGTTGTGTGAACATTGGAGAGCTACGGACGGTATACTGTTGTGTGTTGTGTAGATACTGACTGTGCTGTGCATGTCCTACGTGGTGTGTTGTTATGTATGAAGATTGTGACGGTGAACTGTGCCAGGATTATCCATGGCAACCAGGTTGCCACCAACGGAGTGGTGCACGTCCTCGACCGTGTCATCACTGCCGTGGGCAACACCATCCAGGATGTCATCGAGGTTGACGATGACCTCACCACTCTCAGTGTAAGTCTTTTCGTTTCTTCTGTTCTCCTCTCTTCATGTCATGTCTCTTCTCTTCTCTTTTTTCCCTTTGATTTCAATTCCTTTCACTTTCTTTCCTACCTTTCCTTTCCTACCTTTCCTTTCCTATCTTTTTCTTCTATATCCTTCTCCTCTTGTCTCCTTTCCCCTTCTCGTCTTTTTTATTATTTTCGATGTATCTATTCACACAGTATTAATGGAGCATATGATGGAGGATATGATGTGTTCTCTCCCTACAGGAGGTGGCTCTGGCCTCAGGCCTGCTGGACAAGCTGGGACAGCCTGGCCAGTACACCCTGTTCGCCCCCACCAACGATGCCTTCGCCAAGCTGGACTCGGACGTACTGCAACGACTGATGGGTGACAAGGGTGTCCTCCAAGGTAAACCAAACCGCTGGGCCAGGCTTCAGAGCTTCATGACCTCTCTGGAATGCCATCTATAAATACAGAGAGCAACTCACAGGAGAGTACTTTAAAGGGGAGACATAGAGACTTTATATAGATCTCCAAACTCAGGCCATATCCGTGTTTAATGAGATGAAGGTGCAGGAAAAGTAACTCAATGGTTCCCGCTCGCCATGTTTGCAGGGCTGAGTAACCGCAGAGTTTTTACATGTAAGCACTTTTTCCTACTCAAAACAGATGGAGCCAACTAGTTACAGTCTGAGCTGTGGATTTGAAATTTTCAGACAGTTGGCAAACTGAGCGTTCAACACAGTTGTGTGAGTGAGTAATGAAAAAGAAAAGAGCTCTAGTTTCAGATGTTGGATCAAATATGGCCTACAAAATAATGGCTATTCAACATACACCTTCATATGGTGAAGCTTTTTGATAATTGACACATTTAAGATCTAAACATTTACTGTCACTCTATAATTTATGTCTGGGTGGCACACAATAATAAAACACTCTCACTTGTTCCAAAACATTTCCAAAATCGTTCAACGGTGCTAACACCACTGTCACGAGTCGATGAGTTGCGTCAGCCGAACATACTTCATTATCGAACAAAAGAAACGTGATCAACGCAACAACTGAAAAGATCCCACAAAACACAAAGGCAAACAACATTTAAATATGGTCCAATCAGAGACAACCAGCCACAGCTGACACTCGTTGCCTCTGATTGGGAGTCACTCTGGCCAACATAGAAATAGCACCCATAGAATTTACACCATAGAAACAAAACACATAGATCTACACACCCTGGCTCAACATAACAGTGTCCCCAGAGCCAGGGCGTGACAGTACCCCCCCCTAAAGGCGCGGACTCCGACCGCGTCAACCAAATACCACAGGGGAGGGACCGGGTGGGCACTCCGCCTAGGCGGCGGATCCGGCTCCGGGCCTGATCCCCGCTCCCTCTCCAACCCCCCAAAGTACCCCTGGTCTGGTCTGGCCCCGCTGGCCGGAGCTGGATTGTACACTGATGGAGCGGATTGCTCTAGCTCCGGCGTAACGCATCTGACCGGTGCCGAACCAGGCACCAGTGGAACAGGCACGGGCCGTGCCGGACTGACGACGCCCACCACTGGCTTGGTGTGGAGAACAGGCACGGGCCGTGCTGGACTGACGACGCACACCACTGGCTTGGTGTGAGGAGCAGGAGCGGGCCGGACCGGGCTGGCGATGCGCACCATAGGCTTGGTGCGGGGAGCAGGAACGGACCGGACCGGGCTGACGATGCGCACCCCTGGCTTAGTGCGTGGAGCAGCAACGGGCCGAACCGGGCTGACGATACGCACCCCTGGCTTGGTGCGTGGAGCAGGAACGGGCTGGACCGGGCTGACGACTCGCACCTCTGACTTGGTACGAGTGGCAGGAACAGGCCGGACCGGGCTGGCGACGCGCACCATAGGTTTGGTGCGGGGAGCAGGAACAGGCCGGGCCGGGCTGGCGAAGCGCACCATAGGCTTGGTGCGGGGAGCAGGAACAGGCCGGGCCAAGCTGGCGACGCGCACCGTAGGCTTGGTGCGAGGGGCAGGAACAGGCCGGGTTGGGCTGGCGACGCGCACCGTAGGCTTGGTGCGAGGGGCAGGAACAGGCCGGGCCGGGCTGGCGACGCGCACCGTACACTTGGTGCGGGGAGCAGGAACAGACCGGACCGTACTGGGGACACACACCACTGGCCCTACACCGGGATCTGGAACGGGCCGGACCGGACTGGTAACACACCCCAGTACCTCTCGCCGTGCCTCTACACCTTCCTTCCCTTCTTTGACCAGTGGCCCCCGTAACCTGGCGGCCTCCTCTGCCAACCCGCTGGACCGCTCTATCGCGGCCTCCTGCTGCCCCGACGTCGTGAGCCCCCCCCTAAAAAATTTCTGGGGGTCTCTCTTCCCCGTGGACCAGGCCTCTATAGTTCTCGCCCAACTCTCGCTCTTCTGCTTCCAACTCCAGCCATTCTGCTCCTCATTTGGCTTGACCCAGTCGAGACTCTTCCTCCACTGTTCCCAAGTCCATCCTCTCTGCTCCTCACTAGGCTTGACCCAGTCGAGGTTGCCACGGAGATCTGCTAGCGATTCCCCTGGCGATGGCTCCTGGACACGCTGCTTGGTCCAGTTTTGGTAGGATCTTCTGTCACGATCGTCGTATGGAGTAGACCAATGCGCAGCGTTAGTTGCGAACATACTTCTTTATTAAGTGAAAACACGAACAAAACAAGAAAACGATAACGTGACAGTCAACGGTCAAACACAAACCAACTCGAACAAGATCCCACAAAACACAAAGGGCAAACAGACAGTTTAAATATGGCTCCCAATCAGAGACAACCAGCCACAGCTGACACTCGTTGCCTCTGATTGGGAGTCACTCTGGCCAACATAGAAATAGCACCCATAGAATTTACACCATAGAAACAAAACACATAGATCTACACACCCTGGCTCAACATAACAGTGTCCCCAGAGCCAGGGCGTGACAACCACAGGGCAGGAAGCAGGAAGCAGCTGGCTCTGCCTGTGTCCCAAAGGCTGTGCACCCTATTCCCTACGTCATTCATACGGCTATGGTCAACAGTAGTGCACTATAAAGGGAATAGGGTGCCATTTTGGGACACACCCTGGTCAGAGGGTTGGGACTGGAAAGGTTAAGAAGGTTCAGAGCATTAGGAGGGTTGGCAGCGGTGTGATGATCCCTAATATTAGTCCTAAAACCTCCCTGAGCTGTGAGATCACACCACTTCACACACAGTAAAACAGAATCAAACAGGGCAGTAAAACAGTCATGAATCACCCTGCACTCAATTGTCTCCCAACACCAGGACCCAAGGGATCTAAGGGATCTCCAGGTCTCCTGAATTTCATAGGTTGCGTCTCAAATGGCACTCAATTCCCTATTTAGTGCACTACTTTTGACCAGGGCCAATAGGGATCTGGTCAAAAGTTGAGCACTTAAAGTCCCAGTGCAGTCAAAAAAGTGATTTTCCTGTGTTTTATATACACTCAGTGACCAGTTTATTAGGTACACACATCTAGTACCGGGTCGGACCCCCTAGTTGTTAAGTGGTTAAGAGCATTAAGCATTAAGAGCATTGGGCGGGTAACCGAAAAATTGCTTGTTCCTGACTCTGCCATCAGCATGACGCAACAGGAACCGGGATTTGTCGGACCAGGCGATTTTTTCCACTCCTCAATTGTCCAGTGTTGGTGATTGCGTGCCCACTGGAGCTGCTTCTTCTTGATTTTAGCAGATAAGAGTGGAACCCAGTGTGGTCGTCTGCTGCAATAGCCCATCGGTGACAAGGAGATGCCGTTCTTCACACCACTGTTGTACTGCGCCATTATTTGCCGCACCATTCACGGTAAACCCTAGGCCGTTTCTGAGATACCACGCTCAAAGTCACTTAGGTCACTTGTTTTGCCCATTCTAACGTTCATGTGAACAGTAACTGAATGCAACTGAACGCTTCGATGCCTGTCTGCCTGCTTTATATAGCAAGCCGCGGCCACATGACTCACAGTCTGTAGAAGCAAACCATTTTCGTGAACAGGGTGGTGTACCTAATAAAACGAATTTCAACACTATGAGATTGGAATAATGCTATGAAATTGTGAAAATTATGATAATGCCCTTTTAGTGTAATTTTTTTCTATCGCAAGTCTTTACATCTTTTACCTCTAGCTAAGGAGTTTTGTGCGTGAAGAAGGATTGTTTTGTTAGGTTCAGTTTGATAAAGTGCACCTGCTCATTAGCTAGCTAGATAACTTTAGCTTGCTAACTGAGCCATGCAGTCACACACACTTCATATGAAACGAATGGGGTGGTAAGTGCAGCACAATGTCCACAACACTAAATGCTTTACCAAGCTAGCTATCTAGCAAGATGATGAATAATTATTTTTATTCACTCTTTATCCCATACTTCCAGTGCCAGTTCGCTTCCTAGCTAACGTTAGCTAAATGGTTAGCATCGCCATTTAGCACAAAATAGCTAGCTAGCTACTCCACCGACTCTCGACAGCTAACAGGCAACTGTTACATTAAAAAATGAATCCGTTGTGATTTAATTATAATGTTGCTATCTACACTAGTTATTTAGTTGTGACCATCTGGTAGAAACGTTGAATAACACATTCATTCATAAATGGCAAAAAAGACAGTCAAAAAATAAATCATAAAGAATACGGTTTTGAAGTGTCTGTCCTATATCTAGGAGATATAAGAAAGATCAGGAAATATTTTTGTTTTTATGGACACATATTTAACCCCTTATTTGTGTTGGCACAAAACTACCTCCATACTTCACCTTCAGACGAGCCCCGTGAAACTTGTGTTTTTTTTTGAGCAAATGGAGAACACCATTGTGTTCGTCTCCCCTTTCCACAGTGGGGTCATATTAGTTTGAAGCCCAAACGGTTCAGATGCTACAGACAGAAGTTGGCACATCAGCATTACCTACTTCAGACGAGTCCTTGTGAGACGTTTTCGTGAGTAAGTAAGTAGCCTTGCACGAGCGAGCCGGAACGGCTCATAGGGCTGGAGCCTATCTCCTGATTCTGTAGCGTGAGGCAGCTTGATGTACAAGTACACCCCCTGGACAGGACGCTAGTCTATCACAGGGCCTTACCCCCAATCTATCTCCTTCATGCTGAGTGCCAAGGGGAGACGCATCAGGTCCCATTTGTACAGTCTTTAGTATGACTCAGCCAGGGATTGAACTCACAACCTTCCAATCTCAGGGTCGAATACTCTAACCACAAGGCCACTGAGTTGACGTTTTCGTGAAAATACAAATGTTCGGCATGTCTCATGGTCTGACAAACACTGCTGTACCTCAGCCAACATCCACCGCAGATGCGGAAGGCCGACATCGGCGGCCTAGCTTAAACTGATGGATTTTGATGATTTTTTTATAACGTTATTTAGAATTAAAATGATGCCTTGCTAGTACAGTATATGAATTCAAACACATATCGCTTTTCTCGGGATGCTGGCCAGTCATGTCCGTAATGTAGTAAACCAAACGATAACAAAATGCTGTTAATCAATAACGGTATATATAGGAGTATCTGAGTTTGTGGGGCTGATTGACACTTTTATCCTCTCCTCTCCTCTCCCTCCAGCCCTGCTGAACTTTCACATGCTGAACTCTGTCCAGTGTTCAGAGGGCATCATGTCCGGCCAGACCTTTGAGACCCTGGAAGGCCACAACATCGAGATTGGCTGTGACGGGGACAGCCTGACAGTCAACGGCATCAAGATGGTGCTGAAGAAAGACATTGTCACCACCAACGGAGTCATCCACCTCATTGATGAGGTCCTCATGCCTGACTCAGGTTAGCTTCCCCATCTCATCCCACCTTATAATAATACATGTAATTTGTATAGTGCTTTCATTACAGAGCTGTAACACACATCTCAGAATATGTATGTGTTTGTGTTTTGGCATTTGTTTGTTGGAATGTAAATGGAATGAACTGTTTCATGAAATACACAACACCTTTATTTAGAGCTCCCTTTGCTGTTACACAAGTATACATTTACATTTTACATTTACGTCATTTAGCAGACACTCTTATCCAGAGCGACTTACAGTTAGTGAATACATTATTATTATAATTTTTATTTTTTTCATACTAGCCCCCTGTGGGAATCGAACCCACAACCCTGGCGTTGCAAACGCCATGCTCTACCAACTGAGCTACATCCATACACATAGGCAAACAGAAACAATGACATAATGACAGCAATACTAAGATCAAATCAAAACTCTGAATAAGTGTAGAAGTGTTGATCTTTCAGTGGTAGAGAAGCTTTTAATGGTACTGTCTGTGTCCTCTAAGCTAAGCAGGTGATGGAGCTGCTCACCCCTTCCCAGTCCACCTTCAGTGACATGGTGTCAGAGCTGGGTCTGTCTGCAGCCATGTCAGCCGAGGCAGAATACACACTTCTGGCCCCGCTCAATTCTGTCTTCACTGGTGAGTAATATACCACTGGCCCCGCTCAATTCTGTCTTCACTTGTGAGTACACACTACACTCTTAGAAAAAAAGGTGCTATCTAGAACCTTAAAGACTTCTTCGGCTGTCCCCATAGGAGAACACGTTGAAGAACCGTTTTTGATTCCTGGTAGAAACCTTTTGGTTCCAGGTAGAACCCTTTTGGGTTCCATGAAGAACCATTTCCACAGAAGGTTCTACATGGATCCCAAAAGGGTTCTACCTGGAACCAAAAAGGGTTCTCCTATTGGGACAGCCGAATAACTATTTTGGAACCCTTTTTTCTAAGAGTGTACTGGCCCTGCTCAATTCTGTCTTCACTGGTGAGTACACATCATGGCCCGCTCAATTCTCTCTGTAACACATCCCTCGTTCCCCTAAACACTCTTGAACGTCCTGAACTTTTTTCTTTCTTGCTCCTCTCTCTGTCTTTCCCTCTCCCGTTTCCTCTCTCTAGCTCCTCTCTCTGTCCCCCTCTTCCTCTCTCTAGCTACTCTGTCACTACTTTATCACTCCTCTCCTTCTTTCTCTTTCTTTCCTCTCAGCAGGTGGGTAATGCACACTGAGCTCCAAACTGACATTAGTCTTGCTGTCATGCTGACTCACTAGTAAGCAATATACTAGACATACTGTATACGGGTCTCCTGAGGGAAGAGTGCTGGAATGATTCATAGCTGGAGCTTTTTGCCATGCAAACCCTAAGAATACATAATTACCACTACACACACACACCTGTATAGGAACATTTTAGACCTCACAAGACGTGGGGAGAGATATCTCCTACCTTAATCCAACATTTGTAATGCACATGTGATAAACTGAACCAAAGTATATTAATCAGCAGTATGATACACTAGCCTGCTGCATGCTGCAGGAAATACAATAATCCCCCAGGGTTTAAAAGCTGTGTTATGGCGTTGAGCTTGTAAATTCCTCCACTAAATTGTTCTCTGATTTAGACCCTACATAATTTGTCCATTGTCGACGTACAGTACAGAACAGCTCTGTATCTCAGACAGCTCAGACCAGGGTAATGCAGACTGGAACAGTAACTATCTGTGTCCCAAATGGCACCCTATTCCCTTTATAGTGCATTACTTTTGACCAGAGCCCTATGGGAATAAGGAGCCATTGGGACGCAGACACTGTTACGTTGTGGCTGATCAATCTGTCTATAGGGAGGTTACAGACTTCTGGAGATTTCCTGGAAAATAAGGTTTACATTTTACAATGACTGACTAGACCACCAGACTGCATCATTAGCCTATATTATGACTCATATGACAATACTTTCACAATCTAACTTTCTATTGTCTGCATCCTGGGAAAACTTAATATCTAAATTTTTGCAGAATTGGGGCTAGTTTCTGAAAAGTTATTGTTTAAAAACAGATTGAATGTAATCTTTTGGTCTCTTACAATGTATCTATATGAAATATCTCATCCTCCAGATGAGGTGATGGCCATTGACCAGAGCTTTCTGAAGGTGATTTTGGAGAACCACATCCTGAAGGAAAAGATCACTCTGGGACAGCTGTACAATGGACAGCGCCTGGAGACCATCGGCGGGAAGTTCCTCAGAGTCTTCATCTACCGCACAGTGAGTCTGTGTGTGAGTGTGAGTGTGTCTGTGTGTGTGTATGTGTGTGAGAGTGAGAGTTTGTGGGAGTACACGACTGTGTGTGTGTATGTGGGTGTGTGTGTGCGTGCGTGCATGTGTGTGTGTGTGTGGGAGTCCATCTCTCTGAACAGCTGGTCAAACACAATGGCTGTCTGCCATACAACACATATCAATTTCACTTGGCTATCTACTGGACTGGACTAAGAGGCTGTTAATTCAGTAGCTAGCAGACTGTTCATTTCCATGCCTTATAAAGAGCGACTTCAGCAGATGTTCCAACTCAAATTTCAGTTTTAAAGATGCTCAAAACAGAAGTTAGGTGACTGGAGAACCAATTAGCCTAGCTAGCTAACTATCTGGCTAGCTAACTAGTTAGGTGCTTATGCTAGCATACCAAAATACCCAAATATGTAATAATTCTGCTAGTATTAGGACTAGAGTTACATTATCAGGATAAAACCCAGAAAAACCATTTTCAACAACTAAAGTGGTTATTTAACCTGTTCTGTGTCCTGTAGGCGGTGTGCATAGAGAACTCCTGCCTGGTGCGAGGCAGCAAGGAGGGCAGTAACGGAGCCCTCCACCTGATGAGGACTCTGATGAAGCCAGCTGAGACCACCATGTTCCAGATCCTCACTGACAACGGAGGATTCAAGTAAGCTGCTTGGGCACATATAGACTGTGTGAGCTTTAGCCTGGTCCCAGATCTGTATGTGCTGCAGCAAATGAAATAGTCAGAGAAGTTAGCTCAAGCTCTTACAGATCTGAGACCAGACTAGTGGAAGGATTTTGGTCAAGGGATTGTTCCGATTTTGTGGCCAATTCATGAATATACTGTATATTAAACATTGTTGGACAACCTTGTCTCACCCCCTATTCGAGAAAGGATGTTATTTAGCCAACCCAATAGCCAGAGAGAGTTCACTAGTCAGACAGAGTTCAATCATATTCATACAGACCTGGGAGCAAGCTGGGAAAATAGTTTATACAGACCAGTGGGCCAACTTATTTCCAAATCATGTACACCTCTTGCAATTATCTTATTATCTAAATAATACAAATGATCTCATCACTGAAGAGGATCCTTTTCTATAGCTCAATCGGTTTGTAAGTTGTCAAGCGGGCGGTTATGTGTGTTGGCGAGGTAGAGAACCCTGGTCAAGCAAGCCCAGTCAGAGACAAGTTTAGGGAGGCAGCGCTATATGCTAAGCTATCACACTGGCACCGGTTATACAGTATCTACCCTCAGTGGTCGTCATGAGTGCCAGGTAACTGTTTCCTTCATCTTGTGTTGGTTGCAGGATCTTCCTGTCACTGATGGAGACGGCTGGTCTGACTGACCTGCTCAAACAGGAAGGAGAATACACTCTGTTCGCTCCCAGTGATGAGGCCTTCGCTGGCGTCAGGGACAGTGACCTGGCTCTGCTCAAAGGTTAGTTCATCTCTCTCTCCATCTCTCTGTCACTCTCTCCATCCTTCTTAGTCTGTCTCAGTCTCTCATAGCCAGAGGTTTTTCTTGTCAGGCCACATCATGATGGTCAGGAAAAACTGCTGACCTTAACCATAGCTACCATAGCTACTAGCTATCTCCTAAAGGTTGTAATGTCAAAGGAACATCCAAAAGACTTAGAGTTAGTAGTTGTATGTACGATACCTACTATGGTACCATAGTCCTCCGTCTAAAGTCCTGTCTGTCCTGGCTAGGTAATATGAACGCCCTGCGGACCATCCTGCTCTACCACTTCAGTAACGGAGTGTTTATCGGCGGAGGTCTGGAGACTGGGGTGACCAACCTCCTCAAGTCTCTACAGGGCAACAACCTCCGAGTGCTGCATGTGAGTCGAAACCTTTCAACACTCAACAAGGCTGTAAATATAAGAAATCATGGCATTTTCCAATGTACGTTGTATGAAAAGCTGGAACAAAACCAAGCAATTATCACACAGATCCTGAACAGATTGTGCAATGTTTTTACAGTGAATCAAGAGCCTCTCATCCAGATCCACTCAGTATTACCAACATCCGCAATCCTTTGTCATCAACAATGTAAATAAATGTTTAAACTAGGAATTAGGGCTAACTATCACTTATTGGAACACATATATAACAGTTCTGTCACGTTCGTTGAAGGACGGGTCAGACCAAGGCGCAGCGTGATATGCATACATGTTTATTTTAGCTTAATAAACACTCGACAAAACAATAAACGAAACGAACCGTGAAGTCCAAGGTAGCACACACAACATACCTTACAAGGAACAAGATCCCACAACTAGACAGTGCCAATAGGCTGCTTATGTATGGTCCCCAATCAGAGACAACGAGCGACAGCTGCCTCTGATTGGGAACCACACCGGCCAACATAGATCCACACATACTAGAACGACAACATAGACAAAGCACAACAAGGAATATACACACCCTGACTCAACATATAAGCGTCCCCTGAGTCAGGGCGTGACAGTACCCCCCCCCCCCCCCCCCCCCCCCCCCCAAAGGTGCGGACTCCGACCGCACAACATAAACATAACAGGGTAGGGGCCGGGTGGGCATTCCGCCTCGGAGGCGGATCCGGCTCGGGGTGTGACGACCTCTCACTCTCCACCTCCCTGTTGCGCCCCTGGTCTGGTCTGGACCTCGGCGCGCTGCTTCCCCTCTCCTTCCTCCCACGATACGCCAGGCCCTGTCTGGACCCTGGTGTGGGAGACCCCGAACCTGGAGAGGGGCTGACATGCTGACAAGACTTTCACAAATGCTTGCATCGACCTTTGATATTTACTGTTTTAACTTTGGGTTAATTTTATTATTAGCTTTTAAGTTTTATTACAGCAATGTCCTTAGGGTCATATTCTAAGATAATTTTTAAAAAATCATTTTTTCAAATTAAAAAAATGTGAGGTCCCTGGATGTTTGTAGTGCAGACTATTCATGATTTAGTTTAGATTACAACAGACAGTTGCATTCAACTGCTACCAATTACTTTACACTGGAAGAAGTTAAGCTACACTAAATCTACCCTTAAAAAATATAGTTTACTTAACCAAAGTTACTTTGAAAAAGTAGTTCACTACATCCAAACTACTTTGTGATACATGATCAACAGTTTTGGTACATCTGAAATGTCTAGACTACTGTAGTGGTCGGTTTTTTTGCGTGGTGCCGCCATCAAGGAGTCTGCTTAAAAGCTGCACCGTGTTTTAGAGGCTTTTATTAATATCACGAGGTTACCGCATATGACAGACCCGCGCCAGGTCCGGAGAAAAAGCAGTCCCAAATGAATCTCAATTTGCTTTCTGCCCCTCCTTCGTTTTCCCCCAGTATTATAAACTCCCAGATGTGGGTTGGCTCCCTCTACTGTCCATCCCCGTGTCTACAAACCTTCTGTCTGTTGTATGTGCGTTACCTAAACACATTCCCATCTTGATAATAAAATCACATTCTTTCAGTTCCACTTAAAAACATTTAACCCTTCATAATCTCAATACCCTACACCACAATTGCAGACTATCACTTTGGGGGTCATATGTTAACATCATGTTTAATTTGCCTAGTTAAACACAAAAACATGTTTCAGTGAACTTAGGCAGGTCTGTGGGGGGCCTACAAAAAGAGTGGGTAGTTTACCAGTAGTTGCTTCACCGCTACAAGCCAAAAAAAAAAGTAATTAACTACTGAAACCACTACCTAGATTTGAATTTGTTTAACTACACCAAGTTACTGCAAAATGTAGTTAAGCTACTAGTTGAACTACATGTAGTTCACTACTCCACAACACTGACTGTTTCAAGTGTTCTGTATATAATGTAGTCAACGCCAACCTAATTGAGAAACATATGGCACATTACCAGATGGTACTCATAACTCATCTCATTGTGGTTGTCTTGTCTGTAATCATCCATCAGTGTTTCTATCTTAATCCTCTCTACTCCTCTCCTCCAGGCTAACAACACAATCAGAGTGAACACTATTGAGGTCCCTAAACACGATATCATGGCCACTAATGGAGTCATTCACTTTGTCAAAACCCTCCTCTACCCAGGAGGTAAGACTGACTCAAACCTTTCTGACTGCCAGCTCCTCTGTTGGAGAAACTGATTATACCCTGATTACATTGTCATGTGTTGAGAGACGCACTGTGCAGGGAATAATTTATTTATATATTATATATATTTAGCAGTGCTAAATGGTACGTTTAACACCCTGTGCTGTGCTATGCTGTATGTACGCTAATGTAAAGTGTTACCTGTATGTAGAGGTAACTGCCAAAATAAAGGACACGCCAACATAAAGTGTCTTAATAGGGCGTTGGGCCAACACGAGCCCGAACATGGTTTTATGCCATGTAGACCATGGCATATGGTTTACATTGTTTTCATGCTCATCAAATCATTCAGTGAGCACTCATGCCCTGTGGATAGGGGCATTGTCATCCTATGGGCGCATAGCCATGGTAGCCAAAATATTGGCCAAAATAATGGCCTGCCCTGCATTTTTATACATTACCCTAAGCATGATGGTATGTTAATTGCTTAATTAACTCAGGAACCACACCTGTGTGGAAGCACCTGCTTTCAATATACCTTGTATCCCTCATTTACTCAAGTGTTTCCTTTATTTTAGCAGTAACCTTTATGTACCCTATTGTAAATTGTTACCAGTATGTGTAACACGCTGTACTGTGCTGTGCTGTATGTACCCTAGTATAAAGTGTTACCAGCATGTCTAACACTCTGTACTTTATTGTCCTGTAGAGCTGCCTGCTGGAAACTCTGACCTGCTGGGGCTGCTGAGAAGACTCATCAAGTACATGGAGATCAAGGTACTGTACCAGGCCACACCCACATAAAGGAACAGACCACGCCCATATAATGAACCAGGACAGTAGGCCGCACCCACATGACTATCGTAACCACAGCGTTACTTACAGTACTGAACAAGGCCAGACAGGTTCTTATGATTAGGAATATGACTAAAATGTTAGAGAACCCTGAGCTAACAAGATGAGATTAACATCTAAGTGTTTGTTAAAAAATTACCTTAAGATGACAAGACGTCATGTAAAGCCTTGAACAAATACAGTACCCACCACATAATAGAGGCAGATATTTCTCCTGTCTTCACAAATCCCAGGCAGTGCATCTGAAGGTTCATTGTTGCCCTCTGCATTGGAGTTGAGCAGAACGATGTGTACACAGACCTATAATAATATGGTTTACAGCCTCTAATCCTTCTTTCTATTCATTCACAGTTCGTGTCAGGGTACAGCTATAAGGAAATTCCCCTCACATTCATGAGTGAGTACAACTATATCAGTCCAAGCCTTAGATTTCCGCTGTACCTTTTTGCATTGCAACTATTTGTAACTTTGTTGTTGTCCAGTGACTAACTGCTGTGTGTCTTCTGTTTCCTTCAGAGAGGATGACCATCACACGCGTCATTGAGTCAGGTAAGTTACAGTTAAAGGATCGAAGCAACATCCTTCATGCATAAATCTTAGCTTTGTGTAGTACAAAACATTAGGAACACCTTCCTAATATTGAGTTGCACCCCCTTTTGCCCTCAGAACAGCCTCAATTCGTCGGTGTATGAACTCTACAAGGTGTAAAAAGCGTTCAACAAGGATGCTGGCCCATGGTGACTCCAATGCTTCCCTCAGTTATATCAAGTTGGCTGGATGTCCTTTGGGTGGTGGACCATTAATACACATGGGAAACTGTTGAGCGTGAAAAACCCAGCAGCAATTCATTACTTGACACACTCAAACTGGTGCACCTGGCACCTCCTACCATACCATATTTTGTCTTGCCCATTCACCCCCTGAATGGCACACATACACAATCCATGTCTCAATTGCCTCAAGGCTTAAAAATGCTTTTTTAACCTGTCTCCTCCCCTTCATCGACACTGATTGAAGTGGATTTAACAAGTGACATCAGTAAGGGATCATAGGTTTCACCTGGATTCACCTGGTTAGTCTATGTCATGTAATGTTTTGTACACTCAGTGTATATCATTTTACATGATATCACATTTAGTCTTGGAAAGACTTAAACATTGTGCTACAAGAGTTGATAGAATAGTTGGCACAGTTCAGATAGGGAGGATCTTGGCCTTCAATGAGATTCATGACCCATGTCCAAGAGGAAGAACTATTATGGCTGTTCAGATATTTACAGTACAGACAGCAACAATAGAAGACTTGCCATAGTAGCAGACACCTGGGAAGGTTTTATCTGTTCTGGGTAAAATAACCGTTCTTTATTGGGCTTAATCCTGACCTTTGATTTGTGTGGTTAATTCCTGACGTCGTTACTGTTTATGCAATTATCTCCAGTCAAGATTCTGAAAGAGATATTTGGGAAAACTGATGTCTTGGAGAAAGCCTCTACCTGTAAAGTATCCGCAAAGCAAGTCCTTTGATTATGTAATATATTCCAGTCATATGAATCCTTTTAGAGCCAGTGAAATGTTGCCATTCAGTCTAATATGATAAAACCTATAAACTATCATCTCTGTTAATCAAGGAGTAGAGGAGCCACTGACATACTACATGTCTGTAGTTCATGGAGTCTAGAGTTTCTAAGTTCATTCGAACCTTCAGATCTTACTAGTGTGCCCTTTAAACTTCATGTTCTTCAATTATACTTTTGTTGTTGTTTATTCCAGTTGTTAAACTTGTTGTCCTCTCTCTCTTTCTAAAGTTCCTGATGTGACCCATGTTACTAGGGTTATCGAAAGGGAACCTACCATCACCAAGGTGACAAGGGTGATTGAGGGAGAGCCTACCATCACCAAGGTAACACCAATGCAACAACCCATGTTTCAACAGTTGTATCCATCCATGTACCCACCAAATCACTTTGAGCATCGGGAAAAGCATTATATAAATCTAATACATGATTATGATTATTAGGTGACCAGAGTCATTGAAGGCAAGCCAAAGTTCACCAAGGTCACTAGAGTCATCGAGGGAGAGCCCAAGGTCACCAAAGTTACCAGAGTGGTCCCAGGTATGCACCTCACAGACACACAGGTCTTTCTTGACTCTTGTCCATGAGGTCTGAAGAACTCTGGGTACATAGTAACATCTAGTAAAATAAACGTATTGTAGGCTACTGTATGCTATGCCTGTTTTGGTCTATAGTTGCTATATAGTGTATTGATGCACTATATGAAACAAAGAAGGGTGTGTTTGGGTTGCTGAGGTGAGACACAGGTCTACAGATGTGAGTGTGTTGTACTGAATGCCCTCTACTGTACGTCACCCACCTCATGACTCCTACAGCTGCCCCTCTGTGAAAACATTATGTTTCTATGTGAAGACTGATGTAGTTTCAATATGATGTCATCCACAGGTCCTCAGTACTTGGCCAGCAACAGTGGCTCCAGCAGTGGTATCTCCAACATCGAGCTGGAAGGTCAGTAACATCACCCCTCTGGTCGTAGATAGATAACTTAATATAGAAGATATAATACAATGTTTCGTTGAAAATCACGTATATGCATGTCACTGGGTGGACATGTGACAGGTTCTGTTAGATTCTGTGTTTAGCAGATAGTGTGAAGCAGAGACTGACAAACAGGATTCAAACTAACTGTCACATTTCCACCCTGTGATATTTGGCATAGTCAGCAGTATTAGTCAATTGCCCAATAGAATTGCTTGTTTCGTCAGGATACATAGTAGTCCCATCTGTGACATATACAGTAACATCCCTGTCTCCGTCCTGTAGGTGCTGACTCCTTCCATATCTCCACCATCGAGGGAAACCCCTCAATGCTCGACATGGACTCTGAAAAAATCACCAAGTTCATCCAAGGTAAGAGACACATCTAAACCCCATTCATGATTAAGATGTGGTTTCTGTTGTGAATGAGGTTTGGGTTCTGTAGGGTTCTATAATGACTAAGGTTTATGTTCTTTAAGGTTCTGTAGTGACCAACATTTGGGTTCTTAAAGGTTCTATAATGACTGAGGTTTAAATTTGTCTTCACAGAGGGAAACCCAAAACGAGTAACTGGCAGGAGAATTCCAGGTAAAACATGATTCCTTGATAACATAACATAATGTTAGACCGTGTTGGGGGATTCAAATGATGGGTAATGTCATCCTATGAGGATCTGTGATTTGAGACCATAGACATAGAATGACCACCTATCATTGAACATTGACTTGAATGGGAATGATTAACTCTACCCACATGTACACATTACCTTAATTACCTCGACTAACCTGTGCCCCTGCACATTGACTCTGTACCGGTACCCCTGTATATAGCCTCCCTACTGTTATTTTGTTTTACTGCTGCTCTTTAATTATTTGCACATTTTATTTTTTACTTATCTATTTTATACTTAACACTTCCTTTTATTTTTTTACTGCATTGTTGGTTAAGGGCTTGTAAGTAAGCATTTCACTGTAAGGTCTACACCTGTTGTATTCGGCGCATGTGGCAAATACAATTTGATTTGATTTGGAATGTTCATTCTAGGAACTTTATTTCTATGATTTTGAGTGTATGATGATCTTTCTGTTGTCTCTGTTCCTAGCTGGTTCCAGAAGGAGAGTCAGACCAGAGGAACAAAGAGCATGAACATGGACAGACGAGGTGACTGAAGATGCACCAGCAACCAGAGAGGAACAACAGAGATAATGTCAATGAACGGTCTCCCATACAAGCACTACACTCCAAATGATGTGCATGTAGACATACAGAACTTGAACTTAGTGAGACCAGTAAATCCATTTGCTAAACAAAACACAAATCATTGGTGCATGTATCTAAAGATAACTAAAAGCCATCAATATATGTAAATAGTGTATGCATATTTGGGGGTTTTGGGGGTATATTAGAGATGAAAGATTAGAAGCTAGCCAGGGGTAGCAAAATAATATTTGAAACCAAGCTATTGGAAGCCTTGATCATTGGTTGAGGTGATACAACATGATTTTTGGGAAGATTTTGTAATTTACCTCTGCTATATATCAAGTTTGTGGTGCTCACATAAAAATAAAAGAAATACAAATAAAAATGTGATTGCTATTTTCTGAGTGTTACTTAATTTCTGCAAATTTTTATATTTTTCTACCAGATGTAATTTCAGCTCTGATCTGACTTGAATGTCACAGTCGTGTGTTTTCTCTCTCTTTCTGCCTTTCTGTCTGACTGTCTGTTATTCTACCTAGCTAACCATTCAGATATTGATCTTGTCTTTACTTTTAGATTTTTTCAAATGTGCAACATTCTGACAAACTTAACTTTTCACATATTCTCTCAATAGATTTTTTTTACTGCAGTTTTCAAACCTTTTTCAATAAAGTATATTCTTGGATATGAAGTGTATCATTCGCCAGGAGAAAAACCTTTAGTTGGTAAAACTTTTTAGTAGTTCATTGCTATAAGGAATTCAAGCCAAGTTACATTTTAGAATCACATTTACCCAATTTGATGAGAAGATGTATGATAACCAAATCGAATTTGTGTCAGTGTCTACTGGTCCCTGCCTACTTAATGAATTCAATTTTCTTAGTATAACTCTAGTTGTTTGAGGAGGGAAAGGGGTTGTCTGTTTTTTAGATCTCCTAAAATCTATAAAAGAGTCTGACAATGCTACAAATGTCAATCTGTGTGTCCTTTTTAAATGTGTCAATTGTAACACTTTAACCTAGCTCCTCTAAAGAGAAATTCATAAAGTGAGAATGAAGTCAAATCTAAAGCAAATGTCAAATATCAGCGTGTGAATTATACCGTGACATTCAGAGGTGTCTATTTTTTGGACTGGACCTCCTATGTGTGCACGCACTTATGCATGCATTACATTTTTTTATGGGCCTTATAGTAAAGACATGTAATTTAACAGTACAATTTTTATTATTACCTTTTAATTTGGCATGAACACAACCAATCATGATGTTTTAATCTTATTGTCAAACAAATCACTGTGCACTGTTTGGATGCTGGAACTGTTTTGGAGTGGACAAACATGCGCAGGTAGCCTACTTTTGGAAGTGATTTGTTTGACAATAAGATGAAAACATCATGACTGGTTGTGGTCATGCCAAATGAAAAGGTAATAAATAAAAAATACCGTTAAATGACGTCTTTACTATTAGGTCCATAAAAAAATGTCATGCAAGTTCGTGAACACATTGGAGGTCCAGTCAAAAAAATTGAGACCCTTGAATGTCAGACTTTAAGGGTTCTTCACACCATTCGATGAATGGAAATAGACATCTGTTCCTAAACACCAAAAAGTGTAATGACATTTGACGATTGTCATTGGGTGTACACTCTTCTAGACTTTTTTTGTAGAAAGAAAAGTTGGGACACCTAAAAAGGGGCTAAGATAGGAGACTGTCCCGCGAAGTACAGACACATGGGACTTTTTTTTAAAACCATGACACAGAGGTGGGGGTATTAGTTTAATTTGGAATAAGCTTTTATTTTCATATTTACCACTGTAGCAGTACAAATTGCATTTTAAACAAATAGGAGAATGGTAAATTAGCATTATTTAGAGACCCCCCAAAATCGGACTCATGTCTCATTCAGGGGGTCTCCATATGCTTAGCTAAACGGATCCAAATAGTTGAGAATTGCTGCAGTGAGAAGAAATTGGCATCCCAAAAGGCACCCTATTCCCTATATAGTACACTACTTTTGACCAGGACCCGTCAAACGAAGAATTTCGAATGACGTGCATGTTAAAATACAGTGTTACACATCACAGCCAGAGCCTTAGCTTAGTGAAATCCATTCAGGAGTTAAAATACTGTGATACAAAATATTAGTTTGATGTTATTACACTATACAAACACGTATGATGGTATCTAACATAATAGGGGGTTTAAGGTGGTGGTATTATAAGACAATGATGTGAAGCGTATGGTTTAGAGCAGTGGTATTCAAATCCAAGCCAGGAGAACCAGAGTACTGCTGGTTTTCTGCTCTACCTGATAATTAATTGCACCCACCTGCTGTCCCAGTTCTAAATCCGTCCTTCATTAGAGGGGAAGGATGAAAATCAGAAGTAGAACTAGCTTCGCGGTCCAGATTTAAATTTGCCTTGTGAGTGTTTGTAGGGTCATAGTGTACTTGCTATGTGATTGGTACGTCAACTATCTGCTTCCATCCAGACTATAACCACAACCAGCTGATCCCAGAACAGGAGATGTATTGATCTGGCATGAATATAGATCAGTTCGGGAGGTTATTATCTAGATTTGGCTGCAGATCTACAAATAGAGGCCAAGTGTCAGTGTACAATAAGCCAGTGTTTATGGCTGTACGGTTCAACAGTTGCACCAATAGTTCCTTTCACTGGATCCTACACTCTTTTAGAAAAAAGGGTTCCAAAAGGCTTCTTCGTCTTTACAGGAGGTTGGTGGCACCGTAATTGGGGAGGACGGGCTCGTGGTAATGGCTGGAGTGGAATCAGTGGAATGGTATCAAATACATCAAACACATGGTTTGATGCCATTCCATTCGCTCGGTTCCATACATTATTATGAGCTAATTTCCAACTGCAGAAAAGAAACACATCCATCTTAGAGACTGTTCAACTGTCAGTGAAGAAGGTAAGCCTGGGCCTACTGTTGCATCCTGGGTCTGAAAATATACAAATTATATTTACAGTTATGCTGTAGGACGGTGTGACGCACAGAGACTGGTATGATATTACAGAGACAGGGAAATCACAATGAGAAGGAGCCCTTACACAATCTCCCATCCAAAAACAAGTGTAAAAACCTCACACAAGAAAAGACAGGCGACCAACCTTGACTATTTATTTTTCATTTGCAGTGCATCAATGAACAACTTGCTTCACTTCTTCAGGTTCGTTTGTTAACAGTACAGCAGTACTTTATTTCTCAACCTGAAAAGAGTTCACTTTAGGTATATGTATCTTTCCTTTTTCCTCTGCTCTGCATCAACGAACAATGTGTTTCTTGTACAGCTTCTTCAGGTTATCATGTGGAATCTAAGACAGTAATTTTTTTCTCAACCTGAAAAGAGTTTCCGTTCAGTTCCAGTGAACAACAGATTGACATGCAGACTTGTAGAGGCAAGTTCCGTGATCATATCTCCCTGCAGCTGAGCACTACAGTACCACTGACGTGTTGTATTCTAACCTCAGAGTCAAATGGTCTATATGCCCATACTCGTATGGAACATTTCTGCAACGGATATGATTGGCAGGATCTTTTCCATCATTTCAGTGTCTCAGTCTTTGTTGTCTTAATGGAGACCATCAGCAACCACCACATGTCATAATATGTACTGCAGTAAAGGCCTTTTTCCGTGTATTACGGTACTTCTTATTCCACTGACAGGACTTTTCCCCTCTTTCCCCATCCCTCTCCACCCCTGTCCCCTCTCTCCTCTTCTCTCCTCTCCCCTCTCCTCCCTCTCTCCCCTCCCCATCCTCTACGCCCCTGTCCCCGTTGCCTGTCCCTAGTCCATCCAGGCTTTCCACAGGCCTCTGATTTAGTGTGCTAGCAGGACACAACATATGAGGAGGAGGTCAGTAACTGTCATTACTGTTGGGTTTAGCCAGAGCTCTAACACTGTTCATACACTCTTAGAAAAAAAGGTACTATCTAGAACCAAAAAGGGTTTTTCGGCTGTCCCCATAGGAGAGCCCTTTGAAAAACAACTTTTGGTTCTATGTAGAACCCTTTTGGTTCCAGGTAGAACTCTTCTGAGTTACATGTAGAACAGAGGAGGCTGGTGGGATGAGCTATAGGAGGATGGGGTCATTGTAATGGCTGGAATAGAATAAATGGAATAGTATCAAACATATGGAAACCACATTTGACTCCGTTCCATTAATTCTATTCCAGCCATTACAATGAGCCCGTCCTCCTATAGCTCCTCCCACCAGCCTCCTCTGATGTATTTGATATTTGGTATTTTATTATGATCCCCATTAACTGTTGCAAAAGCAGCAGCTACTCTTCCTGGGGTCCACACAAAACATGAAACATTACATAATACAGAACATTAATAGACAAGAACAGCTCAAGGACAGAACTACATAAATGTAGAACAAATAACAAAAGGCACACGTTGCCTACATATCAATACATACACACAAACTATCTAGGTCAAATACGGGAGAGGCGTTGTGCCGTGAGGTGTTGCTTTATCTGTTTTTTTAAACCAGGTTTGCTGTTGTTGAGCAATATGAGATGGAATGGAGTTCCATGCAATAATGGCTCTATATAATACTGTACGTTTTCTTGAATTTGTTCTGGATTTGGGGACTGTGAAAAGACCCCTGGTGGCATATCTGGTGGGGTAAGTCTGTGTGTGTTAGAGCTGTGTGTAAGTTGACTATGCAAATAATTTGGGATTTTCAACACATTAATGTTTCTTATAAAAAGAAGTGATGCAGTCAGTCTCTCCTCAACTCTTAACCAAGAGAGACTGGCATGCATATTATTTATATCAGCCCTCTGATTACAATGAAGAGCAAGACGTGCCGCTCTGTTCTGGGCCAGCTGCACCTTAACTAGGTCTTTCCTTGCAGCACTCGACCACACAACGAGACAATAATCAAGACAAGATAAAACTAGAGCCTGCAGGACTTGCTATTTGGAGTGTGGTGTC